TTCATCTCGACGCGTCTCGACTTGCCCCTAACTCGTTTCGACGTCAAATTCAATTAGGTCCACGAGTCCCAACACCAACATCCAAAATTCACACAGCTCTGGTTGCCTTATCCATTGATCAACTTCCAGCAGAGACTCACAATTAAGTGTCTCGTTACTTTTCCAGTCTACCTCTCAAACCCACGCCTCTACATCCATCGCTCCATCGTCTATTTGATCACAAACAGCCAAAAGGCAAACCAGGAGAGAGATTTTCTCAAAATAATAATAATAATAAAAGTGGGCCAAATTACAGAAAAGCCCAATTAGGCCCAAATTAAGAAAAATCAAACTAAAAAGACTCAAATACATGACAGCATTTGCTAAAGAATTGAAATAAGAATATCAAACATAAAACAATTACTATTACTAGAATGCATCATTTTCTTGTGTCTACCGACTAGAATTATATTTGATTAATGTGCGAACGTTAACATTATTTTAAATTGAAACAATAATAATTTCTAATTTATTTTATTATTATTTGATTGATTTAATATTTATATTTTAATAATTTTTTTAATCTATATCTATACTATATTAAAAAGGGAGGATCGTAGAAAAACATTTTTAGACCATTTTATTCTTTATCAAATTTTATATTTACTAAGCATACCATTTTTTATTTTAATAATTTTAATTAATAAAAATATGAAGGTTATGAATGTGAAGAGTTTGAATACAAAAAGTTTTGTTTATTTATTTCAAACCATTTATGATTTTACTTTAATTGGAATTAATAATATAATTAGAAAGGTGCTGAAATTTCAAAAATTTTCCAAGCTCCTGCATGTATATATATATGAAGTTAATATCTATTTTTTTATACGACAATTTAACTCTCTCTTAATTTGCTTCTTTTCATTTCTTGATTTCTTCGAAATTTTACAGATTTAGTAAGATCCACATTGACCTAACACCTTGGATATCTCAATTTATAGGAGTTTGAAGGTAATGTTGTTTATAGTTTGGTCTCATACATTAATCAAAGGTAGACCAATCTTTGAGAACTATCTTTTGAAAAACAAGTATGAATCTTCTCTATAAACGTCTAGAACTTATTTTACAATAAGTATTGTTATTATTTTTATTATAGAAGTTTATAAATGGTTATAATTTTGAAATTAAATTATTACTAAGTTTTTAAATTTATATATATGTAATATGAATTATACATAAATATTATTCTCTACTAACATTGAGAAATAATGCACTCTTTATTTTTTGAGTTTATTTTTTAATAAAATGACATATTTTAAAATAGCTAGCTAAAAAGATTTTTTTTATCTCTATAGAAATATTTTGTTTAAAATAATAAAAAAACCACTTGAGCTAACTATTTCAAATATTACTAATAATTAGATAATAACATGTTTAATTTGAAGTCTAATAATGTCTGTTTTTTCTCATCAATTATAAATTTTTATAACTCGTTAAAATTAATATAATAAATAAAAAGTGGATTACAAATAAATATTATAGAAGCAGTATAATATATTATTTTATTTATAATAATTATTATATTTTATTAATTAATTACAAGAATAAATATGATTCAAATAAGTAAAACTAAATTTTAAAAAGTAAAATTATGAGTATTTTATTTTTAAAAAAGTTATGATTTCAAAATGCTAAAAATTAGAGAGAGAAAAAAAGGCAATGAAATTTTTATTAAGTAAAATGTTTTTGGAAACTTAACCTTGACCAATAAAATTTTAAATGCACCAAATCGATATAAAAGTTTGAAATTTATAATATTTTATTTTTACTTATATTATTAATTATAAAGCTTTATTTAAAATTAAATTTCAAAAATTTTTGTAACTTTCTAATTTCACCGACGTAATTGAATTACGTATCTATTGATTTATAGTCATTTTTTATTACGATAATTTTTTATGAATTGTGATATTTTTTTTTAATCTTGTGTCCGTGAAAAAAAGAATTATGCATGTGGTAATACACTAGTATTAAAAAAAGAATAAAACTATTTGAACTAAAAAAAAGATTATCAAACCGGCAAAATGTTTTAAAATGAATGCAGTTAGGCAGCAGAGAGAGAGAAATTGAACTCAAAAACGGGTAATGTTATTAAAATTATGAAGTATCAAACAAAATAAAAATTCAAAATAATTCAATTTCAATTGTTTGACAGTATTGTAGGGTTTCTCCATTCAGTCCTAGAGAAAATGAAAATAAAGCATCAATTCAGCAAACAGGATCTAGGGTTTCAAAATCCAACTTTTTTTTTTTCATTTTTAATCCTTTCTTTAATTGACTATTTTTCTTCTCGGCTTCAGAAGCATAGCACGGAGGTCGACGGGATCGATCTCGTCGGCGCAGTTCTCCGGCCGGTAGTAACCGGTCACCGGATCAGGGACCCACGCCATCTTCTCTTCTGTACTTCTTTCTGCTTCTTCCTTCTTCGTTTTGCTGCCACTTTTTGCCACAACTCTATCCGCCGCCACCGCCGCATATCCTCGCCTACCCGGTCCACATGGAGCGTTAAAAATTTTATTAAATTTTTTTCAACAAATTGGCTAACTCGATAATTGACTCATAAATTGGCACATGCGAGAATTTAAATATCTTTTAGAATGACAATGGCTAAACTCTGAATTGGCAATTTGCAATCTATTTAGTTCTGTCATAATTTTTCAATGGCAGGGATATTACAAATTTTAAACATACCTTCAAACTAAATTGTAGCTTCTTTTAGGGACAAAATTCTTACCAATTGTGGTAGAAAATTCGAATTCATGTTTTTTTAGTGGATGAGCTATATAAGTTAAACAATTAATCTAAATTAAGTCTTACCTTTTGGCTGATTTCAAAAGAAACTTTTTTTGAAAGTTCATAAATAATTATTATAAAAATATAATTTCAAAAGTATAAATAAATAAATCTAAAGCGAGATATTCAAATACCTGATGAAGAGAGCGTTACGGAATCCATCGGAGACGAGGGCGGACATGATCTTGACGGCGGAGAAAGAGCGAGCCATTGTATATATTTGTAGAATCTCGCTTTTGCACAGAAATTAATTAAATAATTTTCTGTTTGTTTCTCGAGAAAATCTTCCAGAGAATCGAAGAGGGAAGAGAAAATTAAAAGGAAAGCTTTGGTTGTTCGAATAAGAACCCGCGAGGATTTTATGTAGACGACCAAGAGAGTAGAAACCAGAAGGAAGTAGGAATTAAAAAATATTTCCAAATATTTATTTTTATTTTTTTTCTACTTTTCTTTTTTTCCTAATCGTTCCTGGACTCCTAGTTTAGTTTGAATATGATTAGGATTTAGGGGATTGAATTTTGCCTTTTTAATTTATTTTTTATATTATTTCTTTATCCGGTTATCCGAATAAATCTCGATCTTCTTTTCAGCAGTGAAACTCAATTTTTATACGTTGATTTATTGATAAATTTTTTTGATTCAAATTATTTTCATGATAGGCAAAGAGACCGCATATATTATGTCATTTTAAAGTTGTTGGTTCAAATTTTCACGTTGAACTAAAAATAAATAAAGTTGATCTAATTATTATATGGGTTATGTTGTAACAATTGAGCTATAAACACGGAACTAACTCAATATCTTATAATCAATTAATCAGAAATTAACCAACAAAGCAATCTGGAAATAGATTAAAGAATAAGATGAACAGGAAGATGAGCACTAATACTTATAGTGGTTGGATCAAAAATTAGATGTACATCCACTCAGGCCATTCATTAAACGGTATCAAAAATCAATAATCAGAGAACAAAATCTCTACAAGGCAGAGCAAACAAGAAACCCAGCTATCACGGCTATATGCAAAATTCCTCTTCGTCCGAAAACAGAGTAATCACTCTTCTGGAATTTTCTCTCAACCACCTCATTTTTCTTCTGCCTAGGTTCTATTTCCCAATAACACTGGGTAATATAAAACAATATTGAGAAATGAAAGCTGATGAGAGAGCCATGTTTGATGAGCCATGTCAGCAAGTCAACCCTGCTTTGACCATCAATGAGCTATCAATTTTAACATTTCTCCACCTTGATAGCTACATTAAACATATGATATATACTCCAACTTCTGTCACTGTCATATATTCGGACTCAGTTGTTGATAAGGCTACAACTGTTTGTAACGAGGATTTTCAGATTATGGTGTTTTCAAATAGCATGAAAACCAAACCGGTTACTGACCTCCTCCTGTCACAATCAGCTGCATAGTCTGAATCTACAAAACCAGTCAACTTCTTTTATTTCAACATTTCTTTAGAATACAGAAGTCCATGGTTTTTGAAAATATTTTCAAAGGATAGATAACAAAGAAATACAAAATGATTATTTAATGGACCTAAGGTTTTGTTTAAAATTTAAAGTTAATTAATGATTAAAATACTTGGTTCATTTTGGTCCCTATACTTTAAAAATGTTCATTTTCGTCCCTGTTACATTCAAAATGTTCAATTTGGTTCCTTAATTTTATTTTTAATCTCATTTTTATCATAATTTCAAAACGACACTAAAATCAATATATTTTAAATGTAAACATTACTTTATACTAAAGAGTTTTCATTATGTGTAAAAATTGTGTTAAAATTTTCCAAAATGGTAATTTTTTAGAATACAGGGATCAAAATAAATATTTTCAAATTACAGAAACTAAAATCAACCAAAGTTTAAAGGGATCAAAATGAACATTTTCAAGATAAGGAAACCAAAAGAAAGTTGACATGCTAAAATAGTATTTAACCCTAATTAATGGAGTGCTTTTAGAAATTAACTAGGTATAGGATTTTTAAGTTTAAATTTTCGTTAAGGATTTAAGATTCAAGGTTTAGAGTTTATTTTAGGTTTGGTTCCGAATTTTCCGCAAGCGTAAGGTAAATTTAGGTTTTGTTTTAATAAAAAATTTACTTTTGAAATTTTTAGTTTCATTCTTAAATTTTACTTTTATCTTCTTTAAAGAAATTGTCCACAATCCCCGGTGATCAGTTAAACATGAGAGAAAATGAAGAGCGAATTTGTTGATAATTCTGTCATTCAAAAAATTAGTTGATAAAATTCTTAACGATTTTTAAATGAATAACATCACAGTTTATTATTTAAAAAAAAAAAGGAGGATTTCTAAGAATATTTTGTTTTTTTAATAATAAAAACAAAAACTATAATATAAAAGGGATAAAAGAGTTATTAGAGATTTTTTTTCTTTTTAATAGAGATTGGAACTCCCTCTCGAACTGAACCGATGAGGAAAAATAAATTTACTACACTCATTTTGTCCTTTTTTTCAATTCATTTATTATAATTGAAACTTTCTATTTACTCATTTTAGTTTTTTTTGGTTTATTTATTTTTTTAATAGTAAATAATTATCGTTTTGATAATGTTGCTATTGATAAATTTCAAGTATCATTTTGCCACTTATATTTTGTACTGTTCTTATTTTGTTCCTTATATTTCTGAAATCTAAAGATCGTATTGTTTTTTAGGCAAATGACAATTTTGGTGAGATTCAGAAATTAACATTAAACAACTTTGAAAAGAAAATTGGTGTGGTAATTTTCTGACTAAGCTTTCGGATATGTATTATTCGAATGATGTGGCTTAAAATTTATTACTTTAATAAATTAAATTTATTAGGTGATATTTTCCCTCCCCTATTTAACAAATTAAAATTAAATTATTGTGATTATTGCCAACATCAACTTAGCTCGATACCATACTCTGATCGAGGGTCATAAGTTTAATTCTCCCACTCTATTTTGTTTTACAAAAAATATATATATAATTAAAATTTGCATAATACTTTTTTTTACAATTTTTTTGCATAATACTCTGACTTTTGTTAATAATTTATTACTTCTTTAAGATAATATATATAAAAAATTAAAAAAAAACTCAGTAAAAGATAACTGAGAAATTATTTTAAAATAACAACAATAAAAAAAACACAAATCACGACTCAAAGAAAATAAAACACTATTTCAAAATTTTATGTCAATCAAGTAACTATCCCTTATGGCACTTATCACACCACATCATTTAACCTTTTAAATGTGAGATTTTTCCTCTTCTATTTTACCAAGAATCCAACATAAGTTCCACCTCTCAAGAATCCACTACATTATTGTCTACGTTAAATTATGCTTTAACAAATTTTATCATATCCGACCAACCTTTGACAAACCTACATTTGTTAAGAAAATCCTTCTTTCATGTGCTCAATGAATAGAATTTTTGTCCTTCATCTAATTACTAGCTACCAATAATAAATTTGGTTCAATCAAACTACTAAGTGTTCGAGTAGAGAGAGCGTGTGAACAACTTCTCTTAAAGCTTCTCCCAAAATTGTCAAAATTGGTTTGGTTCCACTTGTCCCAATCTTCACTCAAGCTCTATTTAGAGAGCTGATTGTAAACTATGGACAAAAATCACAAAATTCCGACTAAAAAAAAAGCACCTCTTTATAGTTTATATGCTTACTCCACAACTACGAGTACAACTCATGCACATCGCCTCATGGGATTTTTTGCCCTCATCAGATATTAGTAAACGGAAAATGGTTGAAAGTTTAGCTAAACAAATTGAGAAATTGAAATCTAAAAACCAATAATCTTCATTAAAGTATAAAACAAAAAATCATAAAAGATTCCAGTTTAATCGTTTCGTTTCATACAGTATTACATCGAAGACTGAAAGAATCATATAATCAGCAGCAGCCGCCATAGCCAAATTCTCTAACTTCTTTTCGTTTTGTTTTTTTTTTCTCCTTTCTTCAATTGATTATGTTTCTTCTGGGCTTGAGGAGCAAAGCCCGGAGGTCGGCGGCATCTATCTCGTCGGAGCAGTTCTCCGGCCGGTAGAAGCCGGTGACCGGGTCAGGGACCCACGCCACCTTCTCTCTACTACTTCTTACTGCTTCTTCCTTCTTCATCACGCCGCCGCCTCTTGCCGGAAATCTTCCCGCCGCCGCGCTGGACGCCACTCCTTGTGACGCCGCCGCCGCCGCTGAATATTCACGCCTGCCAATCCCCACACGGCGTTAGAAACTCGGAATTAATAAGCTGATTCACAAAAATCCTTCTAGAATAATTATATTTTACAATTTTTAAAAATAAAATATAAATTTGGCTTAATTTAGTTCCTATTTTCGGGGTATAGTTTCAATTTTGTAGAATTATAAAAAGATTCACAAATCTTTTTATTAATACAAATTAAAATTTTAAAATCATAGAGTAGTCCAAATCTATAATTTGGAATCCGCATGATATGGTATTTATTGGAAAGAGAAAATTTTAATTCCTTTCACAAACTCAATAATTTTGGTAAATTCCTCCTCCAAATGTAAGGAAACGTTTTTAATTTTTTGCAAAATAATTTGAATAAAACTATTTTAATGGAAAGGAAGAGTCTATGTAACTTAAACGCATATTTGGTTAAAAAGATTACTCCAAACGGAGATATTGTATTATAGGGTAGAAATCTTAAATCTTGATAAGTGAGAACCTATATATCTTTTCTTGATTATCACTGGAAAAAATAATATAAAATTAAAATATACTATCAATTTTTCAATATGACAATTCTAAAGACTCTATTGAAATATAGAAAAAAAAAGGAGTTTTTATAATTTTGAAATACCTGAAGAGAGCGTTGGAGAGGAGAGCGGACATGTTCTTGAGGATGGAGAAAGAGGGAGCCATAGAATACCAATTTCTTATTTTCCGTTTGTTTCTCGGGAAAATTTTCGAAAGAGAAAGAGAAGGAAAATGGAAAGTGCTGTGTTGTGGAAGGGAAGAAACCGTGGGGATTTTATTTATATAGAGAGGAAGAATTAAGAAACCAGAGAGAAGTAGGAAATAGGAAGTGACGTGGAAAGTGGAAGCAGTCAAAGCGGACTGGAGGCGGGTTCGAACGTACACGTGTACGCCCCTGATTGTATATAATCTTGTAACAACAATAAAATGATGAATAAATAGATTCTAGAATTTGGAGTTCAATTTTGATTTAAATAAAAAAAAGTTAAATAACAAATTTAGTCTTTTAATTTAGATATAATTTTAATTTGGTATTTATAATTTTAAAAATTTTAATTGAATCCATCTAATTTAGTCAGTTTTAATAAGGGTGAAAAAAAATTATATATATTAAATTGAGTAAGTAAATTTACAATTTAACACAAATGAAATTATTAAATAGAGGTCTAATCAAAGCGGGCCACGTGTTGAAGAAATTGACGGCGGAGGTTTCCTTATAATTGGGAGGCGGCGAACGGGTCGTAGGTGGCGGAAAACAGTGGAGACAAGTCAAACGGGTCAAACTTTTCCTTCTAGAGGGGAGTGTGATTTTCAACTTTATAATTAATAGGTTAATAATAAATTTTATAAAATATTTAAATCTTATGTTAAATAAATTTTTTAACTTCCAATTTTGTATTTAGTAATTTATCGACCTATTTATAATTTTTAAAATTCATAAACGTGTTAGACACAAAATTAAAAAATTTATGATTTTATTAATGTGATCGACAAAATTGAAAGTTTATAATCTTATTAAACACGAACTTACAAATTTATGAATCAAATTTATAAATTAAAAATTATCTTCAATTTTATGACTAATAGATTCATGAACTTTAGAAAATGTTTAATAAATTCCTGAACTTTTAATTTTGTGTTAAATAGGTCTCTCCTTAGCAACAACCCATTCCAAATTTTTAAAATTTACGTACACATTTTTTATCTAATTTGATTTAATGTCGTATTATTTTAAAAATAAATTTAAATAAAAATATTATTTAAAAAAATCCGTCTATTTAGTCCCTAAAATTTGAGTTATCGAAAAGGAGGTGCCTCGACAAAATTGAATGTCATTTTTCAAACAATATTATTCCCGTAGTTACCCCTATTACTTATTAGCAGATATCTTGAAATCGGGTGGGCAGATTTACTGTAGAGCCCAAGAAGGGCAAGCTTGAAGGGACCAAGCCCACAATCATTGGCAGCCCATTGCTTCTTCTTCTTCCGCAGTTAGGGCTTCCGTTTCCAGTCACTGCCGGACCGACCAGACCTCTGCGAGCGGAGTGGCGTTGCATGTACCGGACCGAGCCGTCGTTATCCGAAATCGACCGCCGTTCCTTCGTTTCTGCCTTCGTTTCCTTGCCATTGGAGCCATTCTTTTCGGCCGACGGAGGTAAAAGAAATGGCGGAGGTCAACAACACTGTCAATGAAATTCCTCCGAACATGACCATCTACATTAACAATCTCAACGAGAAAATCAAGCTGGAAGGTATTCTTAGGGGAGTAGCTTCTTTAATGGTTTGAAATGTGATGTGATTTTTTATTGTTTTACTCCTTGGTGAGAGCAGAATTGAAGAAGTCGCTGAACGCGGTTTTCTCACAGTTCGGGAAGATTCTGGAAGTATTGGCTTTCAAGACCTTGAAGCACAAAGGACAGGCTTGGGTTGTGTTCGACGAAGTCTCTTCCGCCACTAATGCGCTTAGACAAATGCAGGGCTTTCCTTTCTATGATAAGCCTATGGTAATGTGCTTACTAGCCTTTCCGATCGCGAGAATTTAATTTTGTTCGTTGAATTGCAGGTTAAGCACTTGAGATGAAGATTAGAGTTATTAGGTCTCGCTGTAAAAAGATGGTTATCGCTTCGTTCGTATGAGCACTAATTCGAGTCATGGTTGTGAATAATAGAGTACTGATACATTCTTCTGAGAAACGAAATGGGAATTGTGTTTGGATCATATTGCGTCTTAGACAGTTGAGACGTACTCAAACATGGCTGGTAAATAATGTGGTTTTGTTGATAATTCTTTGCTGATTTCATGTCGGTAAGGTTAAAGGACAATTCATTGCTTGGATGATCAAGCATGAAACACAATATGCCCTTACCAGGCAATCCTGAAGTGCTTACTTCCTAAATATATCACATTGCAGACGTTTATATTTTCTTCACCTGAGCTTTATGACATTGATAATATTTTGACACAAATCAGATAGTTGTCAAACTTGTCTTCTGCATATCTATTGAAAGCTCTGTATGTCTTGTTTGTCTACCTAGGTTTTATATCTTTTACAGTTAGTATTAAGTGCCAGCAATTTTTCATATCATTTGTTGCTCTGGTCAACTATTCGTCTTTTGTTACCTTGACAAAGTTTTTGGGGGTATAGTGCAATACTAAGCTAAATGTTGTTGCTTTGCAATCATGTAGAGGATACAATATGCAAAGACGAAGTCAGATGTAGTAGCAAAGTCTGATGGTACATTTGTTCCCCGGGAGAAACGAAAGAGACATGAAGAGAAGGGTACTATTTTCTTTATTTTATATTTTACAAATTTAAATTCAAACAGGTTTGAATAGCTTGGTGTATGAAGATTTACTTGAGCATCTGATACTATATTTGAGTGTCGTTGCAACTTTTATACTTATTTCATTTTGTGTTATCTTTGTCAATGCGAAATGCTCTGCTATATTATTCTCTTATTTCTATTTGTACTTTGGATACCGCATATGACTAATGTTCAATTACAGTAAAGGAAAACGTTAAAAAACAGCATACTTGCGCAAGAAATCTACTAGTTATGTGGAATAATAAGCAGTTGTAATGTAATGCATGTATTTTATTCAAAGCTATTTGAGCAAGATCCAGGTCTTGGGGAAAGTAACTTTTTCAGAAAATGGAGGAAAATGTTGCCCTATTATTTTATGTAGCAGTGTTTTGATCAAGATCTTTACTTTATCTTAGGGAGGAAGAAAAAAGAGCAGCATGATGCTAATCAAGCTGGGATGGGTCTCAATCCTGCCTTTTCTGGAGCATATGGTGCAACTGCGGTTAGTATCTCTATTTAATCTCTAAACTTTAGTTTTATATAAATTCATTTATTTTTTATTTTTCATTGCATAATGGTTTTTCACAATATATCCCTTTCTAACTTCAGTCTTGAGCCTTAGATACAATCTAAAAAGCACAGACACAGACATGAGACATGGATAAGACACAACACAGACATGTTAACATGATAATTTCTTAAAAAATATGAAACAGACACGTTGAGGACACATTCTGTATATTTTAAAATGTATGTATACTGTTATATTTAATAATTAAAAATAAATAGAAGGGTCAATTAAGAACCATCATGGGTGGCCCATTAGTCCAAAGGGCTAGGGTTAATTAAGAGGGAATGGGTTCAAACTCTATGATGGCTACCTACCTTTGGAATTAGTAATTTCTACGTATTTTCTGGTACCAAATGTTGTAAGGTCAGACAGTTGTCCTGGGAGATTAGTCCGAGGTGTGCGTAAACTGGCCCGGACTGTCAAGGATATAAAAAAAAATAGAAGGGTCAATTAAGACTCAAAAAGTTAGGTAAAATGTACTTCACTTAGAACACAAGTTAAGTAAATATCAAATAATCAGGAATAAAAGAATTCTGCTGAAGGAAAAGAAAAAATATCTGTTAGTTGTAACTTGTAGCTTGTTTTGTTATGCCTTTGTTTAGAAAAATATTAAAAAAAACAAAAACAAAAACCTGAAGGTGCTTTCTGTAGTGCGATTTGGCGACCTGCCACTTTCTCAATATGGATGCAATCCCGTTTAAAAGGAGGGCTTCTCTATTATAAACCTAATTGATTTCAAACAATTTGGACAAGAGAACTCCTTCAACCGAAGAAGACAAGTACCTTCTTTCTTCCTTAATTGGTTATTTCTTAGTAAGTTTGGGTCTCTCTCTCTGGAAGTTCAAGTTTTTGCTTTGTCTAATAGAAAGCTAGAAAGTACTTTTTTGTTTTAAGACAAAAACGCATTTTCTACCAACATGAGCTTAACTCAGCGGTAATCAAGAGGTCGTGAGGTCATGAGTTTGAATCTCCACATCTCCAATTGTTGTATTAAAAGGGGGAAAAAAAAAAGAAAGAAAAAAACGCAGTTTAGGAAAGCAAAGCTCCGACTCCCTAAAAAGCATCTGATACATTAGACATGTCTGAGGCATTGTAATATAACTCCTACTAAATACTGATATTCAGAGAAAGAGTGGCTTAACGGAAGTCTCCTCCAGCCGCTTAGAGAGTGTTGGTTCTCTCTCTATCCAGGACTTCCCAAAACAAACAAAACATAAACTTACACAACAAGATCTTAAAGTATATAAGGACCAGCTAACTAACTTTAAGGGGGTGAATTTTCTTCTTTACCCTACCTAACATAACATAAGTATTAATTATTGGAGGCCTCGCAGGTGTATTCGAAATTCGAAATTTGTTTGGCGTATCATACACGTGTCTGAATGAATCTGTGTTTGATGCGTGTCCACAAAACAGAGTGTTCATGCTTCTTTGGGATACCATATTTAGATTCTCCAACGTGGTCAATTAAGTATCATATTTTTCATCTGCCACTAATAAATGTATTCTAAGGGCTTGGTTGGCATGATGGCAAAATATAAGATCATAAAGAAATAAGAGGTAGAATTTCACTTTTAGAGTCAGAATTTTACTTTTTAAAAATAGTGCTTTCTCATCCTATTTCATTTCCCACTCTTTTCATTGCAAGAAGAACGATACATAATTTGTTTGTTATACCATGAAAATAGGAAGCATTTCATTCTTTTACTCCCTGCTGAGTTGGGAGAGTCGATTTTCAGTTTTCGTTATTGTTTTGAACTTTATCCACCTTTTATTTCCTTATACCCAGAGTGCGATAGAAATGAAGGAATATATATTGGGTGTTTATTTCCATTTATTGCTTTGGCATTTCATACATCGTGATTGTTAACAAACCCTTTGCCAATTGATTCAATGCTCTAATTGGTCGGACTTAGTGGGTAGCTTTTTGTCGAGTGTATGTACTCTTGTATGCTGTTACCAATTGAATATAGGATTTTAAGGCATCAAAACTTGGTCGGCTGTTATCATATTAGTAACTTTTGTACTGAATTCTTAAAATTATATGTTACCTAAAGAACACTCTTTCCTTTCCCTCTTCTGAAAATGGTGCAGCACTCTCAAGTATCTTATACAGGCGGAGTTATGGTGCCAGAGGCTCCTGCCCCACCAAATAGCATTTTGTTTGTACAGAATCTTCCTCACGAGACGACTCCGATGATGCTACAGATGCTTTTCTGTCAGTATCCTGGTTTTAAGGAGGTTCGAATGGTTGAAGCAAAGCCAGGCATCGCATTTGTCGAGTACAGCGATGAGGTACAATCAACAGTTGCCATGCAAGCACTACAAGGTTTTAAGATGAACCCGCAAAATTCGATGTTGATAACCTATGCGAAGAAATAGAAAAACAGATCTTGGAATGCCACCTGCTGTCATTCGATGCTCAGTACAGGAGATTGTTTGTAAAATACTGTCATCTCATACTAGACAGAAATTTTACCCTGCGTATCCTAATTGTTATAATCATATCACTGATCTCAGATCCACGCAGCGGTTGCTATGATTTGCCTCGAACTCTCATAGTCGTAGTAAAGTTTGATTTTCATCGTTACATTTTGTTCTCATTTTCATAGAAGTATTTCCTACTAGTTATACTATAAAAATAGACTAAAAGCTTTTATAAGATATTTAAGAGCTTATGATGTTGAAATCTAATTTGCTTGAAACTCTATTTCACTGGACAGCAAGTTCTACAGGATACAACAATTCCACAGCAAAAGGAGCTGCAGCTGAAGTGTCTCATGGAGATATCCAGTAAGTACAGAGCTTAAATTATTGAACTGAATTTTGTCATTAGGTGTAGCAGAATTTTACTTGTACAACGTAGCAAATTCGAGTCTGGTTGATGTTGTAGATTATATATTCGTTATATCCGAGACCACGGGTTGGCTGGAGGAAAAAAAAATTGTTTCCAATTAGTTAGTTTTGATGTCATGAGTTTGAACAATAGTTCAAAAAACGTAGCGGAGGCTGTTCTTGGGGCTTCCCTAGCGGAACAACTACACCATCTTCAAGAACCTGAGCTTCAAGGGGATTTGGTGCCATTCTACCAACAACTTTATAACTGTGTTTTTAAAAGCAAACATTTTGGACATTGGAGTATGAATTAAGTGTCTAGTGAAGTGAAGGGATACCAAGTTTAAGATCAGCTAAATAATTTATATTTAACCCTATATTTTGCTTAATCTTAAAATTTCAATTTCATGAGTGGTGAAATTTCATGAATCAACAAATGAACACAAGATTCAATCAATAAAGTTCTTAATATCAACGTACATAAATGTTCAAATCAAACACTCACATAATTAGTTTCCTCCAGGTGCAAAATGTATTCATAGCAAGCAACCAATCTATTAAGGAATGTTAAACCACAGTTTTGTTCTTCTAGGGTTGCATCTAATACGCCTTTTAACCTTAAAAAGCTTCTAATAGATTCTTAAATTTAATCTTAAAAAATATCTAATAGATTCTTAAATTTTTTATTTTATGTCTAATAGGTATAGATTATTGAATTTTTAATTTTTTATCTGATAAATCTTTAAACTTCAAAAAGTGTCTAATAGTTGATCTATCAAATAGGTGGTTAGTAATTCAATACCCATTCTGACACTTTTTAAGTTCATATCCTATTAAACACAGCATCGAAAAGTTAGAGATCTATTAGAATTTTTTTATAAAATTCAAAGGACTTTGATTCGGAGTATCAATTTTACCAATAATTCAAGTTTAAGATTCAATTTGATCGGTGAGTCAAACACGAGACTTAGAGAAAGAAAAAAAAGGAGGTTGAAGCTAGATTATCACCTTAATTTCCTAGTTGGCAACTTATTAGCCCGATCCCAACATATATTGTCGTAAATGTCACCCAATGCAACCTACAATTATTACAAGTGAAAAAAGTAGGAGGATCATTCAAAGAAAGCAAATTGGTGAATTGAGAGAAAATAAAAAAAAATCAAAACTTTACCTCACATGGAACTAATACTCCATCTGTGGCTTCACGAYTTGGCCTACAGTAGAAAGCGCTTTTGGCAAACATGTCTGCAAAATAAAGACTTGTCCCAAAATTCCCAAAATTGTAGGCATGTGCAGGTGCTTCTGGAGGCACAATTCTCAAACCTGATCAAAGAAGATTCAGAACAACTCAACAAACTTAACCAATTATTACAAGAGCGTGAGTTCAAACTTCAAACCTTGGGATAGTATTCCAGCCCAGTTTGTCAATGGAGATCCATGCCACAGTAGCATTCTGTTTTTCGTCTGCGTAAACTAATAAGATCTATTATTAGCATGGGGTGGGATGTTGAAGCTCGGAGTTAATATTGAGTTTGGAATGACTTTTGAGAAGAATACTTTTTTAAGTAAAGCACTCATTCAGTATTTCATTTAAGAGAAAAAGCGGGGAGATTAATGTTTCCACTATATCTCAGGAGTCGTCACAGACGAAGCTTTGCAAAGACCCCARTAGTATTTTAGTATAGAACAGAGGCATTCTGAACCGACTACAACCTGGAGATGAATACTAAAAGATCTTATCGAATGCACCATCGACCTCAAGCAGCTCGACCGGATGAAATAATTCGAACTTCAAATCATTCACTTTCTTAAACAACTAAAAGTCATTCTAAACTCAATCTTTGTTTGAGATAGAACAAAGCTTCACCTCTTTGAAGCGTTTACTTTCACCTTCTCTAGAAGTCTTGAATATCTCAACGATATCCACCTTGTGAGCTGTTGCGGTGTTCTGTATGTACTGCTTRATCTGGTAGACATGGATAAAAGTTAGAGAGAGATTAAAATTGTTGATTTGGATCAATTTAAGAATATGACAGTGGAGAATACCATATAAAAGTCTGCAGAATCAACTTCAAGAGGTGTCAATTCACATTGAAGGCATTGATACTTGGACAGAAGTGGATCATCCTAAAACATTATTTCAAGTCAAAATATTTCAGAGTAGAACAAATTAAAATACAAAACAAGGTGGTGATTTGCAAAGCTCTTGTTAGCTCCTATGACTTGTGTTTTGTTTCATAGATTTGTTGAATCAAAAGAATAGAAAAACCTCCCCTTGAAGTTGATGAATGAAAAGAATTTGAAAACTTTAAATATAGGTTTGGGCCTCTAGAAACTTTTCTACTCTTTTCCTGATTAGAGATTTGTGTTATCACTCTTAGAGTCCTTCGTTCACGTTCCGTGTAGTTCAAAGTTCATTTGTGTTATCGCTCTTAGTGTCAAAAGACTCGAATAGTTCAAAATTTGGAGGCAATTGGAGGGAAATTTTAAGAATGCCAATTTCCTGTAGATGCCATCATTGAAAAGTGAAGATGCTATCTCTATTTCACCAAGAGATTCAACCTATTGAAAACATAAACCAAGCTGAACTAGACATCCAAAATAGAGAGAAATCATATGCATACAAATGGAGAAGAAAAGGCAAAATAGAAGAGAAGAACCAATACCGGGTTACCATTTCGAGTTTGCTCCTTAACTCGTACGGATTGTCAATAACGCAATTGCCTGTCATTATTTGAACAAGTATATTTATTTTCTCAACCAGAGCTACATGGTTTCATTGAGAGATAAAAGGGAACTTACACATCCTTTTAAAGCCAAAGTCATGAGGAAGAATGTTGTAAAATTCTCTGCATGTGGAAGGAGATCCATGAAACCATTGAAATGTGCAATTTCATTGTTGCTTTGCACACGACACGCCCCCTTATATGCTCACAAAGTGACATGAGGAAGGCTCGAGTTGAATCGAAGAAAGACGAGCACGTACCCGGTTAGTTGCTCTAGCATTTTCTTATCAGATTGGTCAATAGCGTTAGCAATCCTCCTCAATGCATCATACACCTAAATATGTTGTGAAATTTGGTTTTAGTTAAAGAAACAAGTAATTCTAGAACACTAGCAATATCAGAGTTGAMTAAGAGCATTGACCTTTGAAACTGTGGATTTACTAAGCTTGTCAAGGGGCAACTTCTTAGCATTATAGCCTGGGAGCAAAATGATCAAACTTTTAGATCGTTCCACACCCTGTTTATCATTTTACTATATAGTATACTTTAACATTTTTCGACCGTAAAAAACTCTGATAAAGTTTTYGTTTGATGAAAAGAGAGAGAGAAAAAAAAGAATACCCAAGGCCATCATTCGTTGTTCCATCATCTGGGTATTGCAAATGAGCGAGATAAACTTGGCAATTCGAGGATCGAGCTTCATGAGCTTTAGTTGATCCTCTGTAGCAGAACAAGATCCATCTTGAACCTGGAAACAACCATAGATAACAACTTAAACTTCTGGATTCAGTGAGCTTTAGTTGATCCTCTGTAGCAGAACAAGATCCATCTTGAACCTGGAAACAACCATAGATAACAACTTAAACTTCTGGATTCAGTGGTGCATTTAAACATGGTACGAAAGTAAGAGGTCTCATGTTCGAATCTTTTGCGGTGAAGAAAAGTCGTGATGGCAGAAAACTTACTGATTTCGGGTCTTTGGTTCTGCTGTAATCCATTTCCAACCAGGTATAGAACTTTGGACGAGTGACAAATTCTTTGCGGTTGTCCAATGGTTCTTGGTCTTTGTGAAAAGCTTTGTGGTGAACTCTTAATTTGATAGAACTCTCCTTTGAACTGTAAGGACCTTGTAATTTGTCTTGGCCTTTGATTCCAACTCTTCCCCATCTATTGTAAACCATGAAGTTCCCTCCATCACTTTGATTCTACCATAGAGAGAGATGTTCAATGCAATGAACTTAGAAGCTAAGAAGTTGCTAAAGAGAATCACAAATTTGTACCAAGAACTTGGATTATGTAGAATTTGTTATTGTTGTCTCCAACATTGGTTTGATTCAAAGTGGCATCGTAAAACTCTTCGTCCTGCATCGGAAAATAGAATCGATCCAACTCTAAGTTGTTGACAAAATGAGTATGAAAAACTTAAAAGTTTTATGATGCAAGTTTGAAGGGCTAAAATCAAGAGTAACAATATAACACATTACCCAACAAAAGTTCATTGGCACATTATTCAATCATAAATTAAATTATTATTTTGAAGTACTCTTTTAATTAACCAAATTAGTTTATATTAATATCCATAAGTTTCCATCTCAAAATCAAAATTAACAAATTTAATATATTTGTTATTGTTTTGCTCCCAATACGAAATTTAGCTAACCTATGTAGTTCCCAATACACCTCCACGTTGGTAAGTGGGTATATATAATCGAAGCTAAGTTGTCCATTTGTTAATGAAGGTTAAAATAAAAGATAAAAATAAAAGTTTATCTTCTTCAAATTTCTCTTCCTACCCAATAGGTTTCTCTTCTATTCTTTTCATTTTCTTTGCAGAATCAGTCCCGCCAACCGTTGAGCCCCTTCGACCGTGCTTCCGGCTAGTCGATGCACCCTTCGCCGTCCTCATTTGACTCTCTTCAGACCCGTTGGACGACATAAAGATGAGTTTGAAATGATTTTTGAAAGAGAAAAAAAAAGGCTTTTAAGAGAATTACTAAAGTGGTTTCTTGAGGGGGGTTTTTGAATTTGTTTGAGATGAATTTGTGAGAGAGAGAGGGGGGTTTTAACTTTTAAGGATGTGGGAATTGAAGAAAATGAAGGAAGAAATTGAAGTGGCGGGAAAAGGTCTATGGCTTGTGGAGCAAGACATTGAAAAAGCTGTTTTATTCGTTACGTTCGGAAATGGAGTAATTATTGTCTGCAAACAAAAAAAACTATGAGCTGATCATACGATCCAATCAGTACGTGCCACGTGCTACCATCTGTATTTGGGCACTGCCCCAACCAACGCTTTAACGTTGTTGTGCGTTGAAGCATGTTGCCGCACTGGATTACTACCAAGAGTGCGGGATACGATTTGACTTTGTTAAAAGTCAAAGCACGTGGCGTTGTCCAACTCAAGACCATGCCTTCCATAAGATGCTTGTATATATATATATAATATATATATATATATATGTGATAATCTCGTTGAAATATTTTTGGCAAACACTACATGCATATGAATCAATGTCGAAAATATTTACGAGACAAATGAATACAAACAAAGATGATAAGAATTATGGCCGACAGGACATGTCTCTAATTRGATCTTATCTCTTTGGAATCTATTTTTTGAAAAGTAAAGATAAGATTAGCTCACAAGCGTGGCCGACAAGAAATCTTATCTTTGAAAAAGTAGGAAAAGAAATAAAGTGAAGCTAAAGCTAGAAAAGCAGCGAAAATAATTACAAACGATTTTACAAAAGCAAAGTAAAGATAGATTCTGAATCATCTTCAAGCATCTTTCTGACTCATCTTCGATAAAACAGTTTGATGACATCACCCAACTTCTTTCAGGTATTTCGCATAGTCGTGAGACAAGAATTTCTAGGAGTCACTCCTCCGAGATTAAGGATGAATAACTGCAAACTTACAAACGGCTATCCACGCCTAAGGCTACCGGCATACATCCCACCGYCGAAGCATCCATCGGAGTTTCTCTAGACTTATCTTGACAGTCGTGACTATTTGTGAAAGCACTGCGAAATCTGCAATCTTGGTCAACTACTGCCCTGTTCGAAGTTATCTCTGTCATGCCCCCACCTTATCGATGATTCACATAATCAACGAGATAATACATAAGTAAAAACATCTACCAAGTGGTCGTTGAAAAACACACTTTATTTTTTAATATTGACCCGAAGATCACACCTTAGTAAGGTTGTGTATCTAGGAAAGGGTCGTTGACATCTATATCGACGAGAGGATCAGGTACATCGCCGACTGATGAAGATGAAGATGAAATGGTGATGCGTTCGCTTGCATCATCATCTGAAAACGATTCGCCACGCGCTGTATGAGAGAGGTGAACTCTGCCGTTGAACTAATTCCTGCAAGGACAAAAATGATATCGTTTCTCAAAAGAGCGTGTTCTTCATGCTCTTTTCTCTTCATGTCTTGAAGGTGGACGTTTGCCTCGAACTATACCTTCATGTTTTCTTCCTGAAGGTGGTCATACTAGAATTTATCTCACCATTTGATATGTATTACCTTTGTTAAGGCCTTGAAATTTCCATATTTCCCCATTTGAAATTCCAACATAAAATCCAAGGGATTTGGAAGTATAGAGCAAATTGAGACGTAATAGATATGAGATTCTATAAATTTAGGGCCCATTTGATAATCTTTGGTGTTTAGTTTTTCTAAAAACCAGTTTGATAACCGTTTTTTGTTTTTTTGTTTTTAAAGAACAGAAAACCAAACATGTTTGATAACCATTTTTAGTTTTATGCTTTTAAAAAGTTAGAAAATTGAAAATACATATTAGARAATTGAAAATACATATTAGAGAGAGAAAATTTTATGTAAAGTAGGGATGACACTAGTGTTGGTGCGAGTGAAGATGCTCTCCCCCATTCTCATGCTCATGAAAATTTTTAATCCCCATCTCTACCTCGTTCTTCGGTTTAAGAGATGTTCTTGAGAAAAATTATCGATTTTATAATTATTTTAGAATTTAAAAAATAAAAAATGTAATTAAAAAATAGAACGAGAACGAGGTTGGGATATGCATTTCCTATTTTTAGGGCCCGACCCTAATTTTTGTCATCCATTATGTAGAAATATGAAAATACAAAGTTTAGAGAGATGTAAATAATATTTTGGAAGATAAATTTTAGAGAGGTAATAAAAAGATTTAGAAAAAAAATTAGTGAAAGTAAAGTTAAATAAAAAAGAGAAAAAATTTTAGAGAAAAAAAGTAAAGTCGAACAGGAAAATATATATTAAAAAAAAGAAATTAGAAATAAAGAGAAAAATTATAGTGGAAAAATCTTATAAATAAAAACCAAATTCAAAATATAATTTTTAGAGAAAATAAATAAATACAAAGATAAATAAAAGTTACAAACTTGAACGAGAAAATAATATATAATTTTCAGAGGAAAAATAAATTAGGAATTGAAAAAATGGTTATAAAAGACAAAATTTTAGAAAGAAAAAAAATTCGTCAAAATATTAATTTTTTAAAAACTCATCTGTTAGRAAAAAATACATAGAGATGAAAATTTTGGAGTGAACATTTATTTTGTTCACGGACTCCAGAGTCCATAATTGTTTTATATACTAAAAACGAAAGGTCCGTTTAATAACTATTTCGTTTTCTAGTTTTGGTTTTTAGTTTTTAGAAAATAGGTTTGTTTGGTAACCAATCCARTTATTTGTTTTGATTTTTCAAAAGCAATTTTGAAATCGTAGGTAAATTTAAAAAACAAAAAGGAGTAGTTTTCYTTATTTACGTTTTTCAAAATCTAATTTTTTTCTTGCTCAACTTGTTTTTTCTTTCTCATATTTATTTCTAACAAAAAATTTTCTCACTCTAAAATTTTTTCCATCCTACCTTTCTCTCTACAAAAGTTATTTTTCTCTCACTAAAATATTTATATTTTAAATATTTAGTGTTAGTTTTAGATCACTCTCATTTCTCTCTAAAAAGTTAATATTTTCTTGAATTTTGTCTCTATATAATTTTGTTTTTTAAAACATTTTTTTTCTTCTTAATCTATCTTTTCTCTAAAAAATTATATCTTATTTTTTCGTTCAATTATTTTTCACTATAATTTTTATTTATTTATTTTTTCTAAAAATTATATTTTGAATATTGTTTTTATCTTTAAATTTTTTCTCACTACAGTTTTTTTTTCTTTCTTATTCATTTTTTTCTTTAATATATATTTTCTTCTCAACTTTAATTTTTTCTTTAAAATTGGTATCTTTTTGTCTTTAAATTTTCTTTCACTAATTTTTTTCTCTCCAAAATTTCTCTTTAAAAAATTTATTTCCATCCTTCTAAAATTATATTTGTGTTTCTACATTAGGGATACAAAAATTCCCTAGGGTCGAGTCCCTAATAATGAATGTCCCAAACCCGTCCCGATTCTATTTTTTAAATAAGTAATATATTTTTTATTAACATATTTACTAAATTGTGAATAAAACATTAAATATTTTTTAAAAATAATTATTTATAATAGTAAATAATAATTCTAAAAACAATTCATATATATATCTATTACACTTTCTATAAAATCCTAAGAATAATCAAAATTAATTACAAAATCAATAATTTTTTTGCGCATATCGACGTTCCAAAATAACGATTATTTAACATGGTTCTGGACTCTCGAACCAAATAACGAGGTTAAAATGGTAGACTAAAAACTTTCACGAGCACGAGAATAGGGGAGCGCATCTTCAGTCTCACCCAACAATATTGTCATCTCGACTCTARATAGAATTTTATCTCTAATATATATTTCTAATTTTCTAACTTTTTAAAAATAGAAAACCAATAAAAGTTATCAATCATAATTGACTTTCTGTTTTTTAAAAACAAAACCAAACCAGAAATGGTTATCAAACATAACCTGTTGAAACAAAACAAAAATTGAAAGAAGATGTGCAAATTGCGATAAACAAATTCCTGTTTTTTGTATCCCAAAGGAAAAGTGGCAACAGACATCGTAATCAATGACTGTTCAAATATGCAAAGAAGGATTTTACTTTATTGAATTCAAAGTCTGTGAATGGAGAATGGAGTTCAGAATTTCTTGATGAAGTCATGGATGTGAGTACTGATTTCCTGTGGCCTTTCTTGGTTGATGAAGTGAGCAGTATCTTTCATTACCACCACTTCCTCCAGAAACGGCACATCCTTTTTGAATCCGCCGTTGTGGATGTATTCCTTGGCTCCTGCAAAATGATAGGTCATATCCAAATCCCCGACGACGAACTTCACCGGCACCTGGATCTGTGCTCCCGTCCATGGCGCGGTCAGCTCCCAAGTTCTGAAACAAACGTCAACTCACTTTCATATATACAAACAACCATTTGAATCAACAAAACATGTTCTGAGTTTGAAAATATGGAGCCATTTTTTTTCTAACTTCAAATGCGGGACGTGTTCGATCAGAGTCAATCAGATGCAACTACGGCTTACAGGTCGAAAGCTCGATAGTAGTTCAATCCTCCAGTAAAGCCTGTGTGCTTAAATTTGGCAGCAAAATAGTTGATGTCTTCTTCTGTCAGCCAAGAAGGAAGGTTTTCTGGAGGTGGTCTCCCACGGAATCCAACTTCTTTAGGCAACTTTGGAGGATCTGTACTTCTATTACTTAACAATGCCTTCAAAACCAGAGCTGTGTCAACCGAGGTAAAATGTTGCTCTGCCTCTCCTGGAGCCTGTTAGAAACTTGAAAATTAATCCCATATAGATTTTTTTTTGAAATCCGTGACAATTCGTCAATTAAGTGAACATCATAGAATTTAAACTCATTTTCTCTTCCCTAGACCAATGAGCCATCTATTATGTCACAATCAATTCATTTTTGTTTTCTGTGTTTATATGAAACTTTCAGTTCATTGCAAAGACTTTGAGAATCAGCCAAATAGGACTCTAATTAGCAACGTTGCTACACTCATTTGCAACTTCTAACGCGCAACTCCTAACTCAGGAAACTTTTCAATCTACTTACCAAGAAAGAGCAGGACAGCAGAATACCACAGTTTAATTAGCAGCTCAAATTTCAATTACTTCTTACGAATTGAAGAAAAGCACAACAAAATTCACAAATTCACCTGAAACCTGCAAATGTAGAAGTCATCGCCATACGCAGCTCTGAAACCCTCGACAAACGAAATCGCAGGGTTCCTAGGTAAGAAATGGACGCTGAGATTCACCAGCGCCTTGATCCGATCTGGCCTGAACAAGCAGAAGTACCAGGCGATTATCGCCCCCCAATCGTGCCCTACCAGGAACACCTTGTCGATCCCGAGCCCGTCCAGAGCCCCAACCAAATCGCCGACGATGTGGAGCGCAGAGTATGACGTATGCGATTCCGGCGAGTCCGTGTCGCCGTAGCCGCGGAGATCGGGCGCGATGGCGCGGTATCCGACGGAGGAAAGGTACAGAAGCTGGTGGCGCCATGAGTACCAGAGCTCCGGGAAGCCGTGGAGGAGAAGGACGACGGGGCCTGTGCCGATGGAGGCGATGTGCATTTTGATGCCATTGGTGTTGACGGTGGTGTGCTCAATCGCGTCCATGGCAGCTTCTCTCGTTCTCTCTCACGATAATCTCTGCAACTGCGAGTTTATCATTGTTGCTGAGGATGGATTCGATGTCAATGGCCGGCGTCGTGATTTTCGAGGTTCTCTACAGTTTCCGTCGGCTTTGCAATGCAGGTAGGACGACCACGTGTCAAACGTAGATATCAACGGCCCCAAGTGTTTCAGTTTCTTGTAAAACAGGATTGCAGGGCCATTGTGGAGCCAAGGAGGGCTTTAAATATTGATAGATATTTTAGGAAAATATATAAAAATAGGAAAAAAAAGTCGTAAAAGGGATTTAAAAAAAAACAAATGACAAAACGAGTGTATTTTTAAAAGTAATTATAAAAAATAGGGTAGATAAATCGTGGGGTGGACTGTGATTTGACCAAAGTCACAAGCGTSGACTACAATTTCATAGTAAATTATAGTCATCACTCTCGATTCATGTCGAAATCGCGGTCATTGCTAATGGAAGTCACGACTCTTCCTTGACGTGGCCCTACCTGGAGCCACGTCTCTGCTAACGGAGTCGCAGCCATTCCATCTTTAGATACAGCATATCGGATGGAAGTTGCAATCATTCCACTAAACTCCTTTTGTTCTCTTTTCTTTTTATTTTATTTTAAAAAACCCGAATTTAAGAAAAATACTCAATTGTTTAATTTTAATTTTCTCCGTATTTGGAAAATATGTCATGCATTAGTCAAAGTTAAATTGGGATTTTCCTTCTTCTAGCTTTAATATTTAATTAAGGCAGAGTTTTCTACCATAGAAAAATAATGTTCTTTTTCATTAAGAATACTCTTCTAGTGAAATAATTTAGGGTACGTGAAAGTTAATATTGGTTAGATGTCTGAAATTTTAGTTGTGATGTTCGACAGGTTTAGATAATAATCATGTTTGTTTTGTAGGTAAATTTATAATGATGTTGAGGAATATTTAAATAGATATGTTATTGACTTTGTACGATGCTCGAAAATTATATATTTGTTCTTAACAAAATTATTATGTATATTCATGTAATTTATACCTTGACTTTTATGTTTTAATTAATTTAATAATTTTTTATCAATTTAGTTTATATTAGATTTAAATGTTGTTTTATATAACATATCAAGATGAAGCACAAGAAGYTGAATGACATTTTAATCATCRAATTGGTTTTAATCTAATTTTAAACTTTCATACCTTAAATGACATTTTAATCAAAATTTAAAACAAATAACAAAAAATAAAAAATTTAATCACATATTAATAAAATAACAATATAAAAAATTTAAAATAGAAATAAAAAAAATAAAAAGGTTGTAGTTGATAATAAAAAAAATAAAAAAGGTGCGTACGTAACTTYCATACAGGCCATAGTCGCGTACATTCGCTTAGTCACCTGYCATGTCAAATATATGTTTGCATGGAAATCGTAGGCATTGTACGACTTCCACTTTGACCTAACCTATTTTTGTCAATAGTTTTGAATAAGTGTGTTAAAAAAGATCGACAACYCGAAGAACCCAACCCCAAGAGTTGGGTTGGGTTGATTTACGAAAGAATCGAAAATTCAGTTCGGTTCACGGGTTGAGTAAAAATTTAGGGGAGTAGATGAGTGTTCCTTTTAATGCTGACTCCGAGATTTGAACAAGGGGTCCCACCCTTTCACTGGCTCGAGAGGGACTTCCGGTTATTGGTCGGACCATAACCGGGTTGTTCCTTAAAAGATCAATGGTACTTAAGGTACAAGATGTAACACAGGGGTAACACGRTAATTTGATCCATCTGTGGTTACGAACACTCGTGAAGGAATGACTGGTTGTTAATGGTCGATATTCGTGGACACAAAAATATTCTATAGTGAGAAGAGTACAGCTGCARGTTTCTAGTGGAGTGACCTGCAGTTAACGTATGTTGATTAATATGGTTAATGAGTTTAACCAGTTAATTTCGTTATGTTGGAGCTTCTGATATATAGGTCCATTAGGTCCCTTTGCTAGCTCGGGTAATTAAGGACATTAATTTTTTGGAGGAATTTGAATTGTTCAAATTTAATTAAAAGGAATTTTTTGTAGTTAATTGTGTATGACACAATTTAATATAATGTATGATGATACATTATAAAAATATATATTATGAGAGAATAATATGAATTGGATTCATATTAAAACTATAGGCTAAAGTTTAATGTGAATTAGATTCATATTAAATACTTTAGGCTAAAGTTTGATGTGAATTAGATTCATATTAAATACTTTAGGCTAAAGTTTGATGTGAATTAGATTCATAATAAATACTTTAGGCTAAAGTTTGATGTGAATTAGATTCATATTAAATACTTTAGGTTAAAGTTTAATGTGAATTAGATTCATATTAAATACTAGGTTAGGAGGGATATGTATATTTGAATATCATTCAAATATTAATAATTAAATGTGATTTAATTAAATTAAATTAGATTTTAATTATTTTAATTTATTTATTAAATTARATATAAATAAATAAATAACTAAATAAATAAAAATATAAATGTAAAATCCACCACTTTTCAACAATTTTGCTATGACGGTCAGATGGGGAGTGGAAGGCTACTACTATAGCGATTCGTTACATTTAAAACTAAATTCTCACATTTCTCAACTATTTGGAATGAAAAATAGAGATTCGTTATATTTAAAACTAAATTCTCACCTTTCTCAACTATTTGGAATGAAAAATAGAGATTCGTTACATTTAAAACTAAATTCTCACCTTTCTCAACTATTTGGAATGAAAAATAATGTACCATTCATTTTAAATTCATTTAAAACCATTTTTTAAAATTATGATTTGGAATCGTTTGAAATTTAAAATTTTTGTTTTTTTAATATTCAAACACTGGAAATGATAAACGGGGGTTAGGGACATTTAGAACAAATTATTTATTTATTTATTTTTTTTGCAAAGGCATTTAGAACAATTTTTCCTAGAACCTCCGCTACTCCTCAATTCCATTCTGAAATTTCACCATGTTCGAACGCTTACTGAAATTCCAATAAACTTTCTCCCGTCTCCTCCATTACCCACCTCCAAGAACACCCCAATTTGACATTCCATTACCCATCAAGAATCTTTCCGACCTCTTCCTACGCCTCTCTCTGATACTCTCGCCATTCCCTTTTCCTAATTCAGTTCTTGTCTCTCAGAATTCCGTAATCACTAAGAGAAACAGAAAAAAATGTTACATGAGCTTCTACTGGCTCTACTGGGTTACACCGGCGACCTGATAATCGACGAAAGAGAGCACTACAACTCTCTAGGCTTAAACCACTTACCTCCCGATGCCCCCATTTCCGGCGAATCCACCTTCAAGCTCGCATCCGACATCTCCTTTCTCGAGCCGAGCGAAAGGTACGGCCAAAACCCATTTACAGAAATTTCTTTCTATGTAACGTCGATGATGGGTTTTCTACTTTCGGATTCAGGGATCTTATTCAGAGGATCATTGTATTAGGATTTTACTATAGAGAGCTCGACCGCTTTGCTACTAAGTCTCGGAACTTGAGTTGGATTCGTTCTGGTAATGGGTCTTCGTTAGCCAAGTCTGCGGAGTCGTCTAAAGCTAAAACAGAAAACCCGAGTGTGTATAGGAGGGCCATAGCTAATGGCATTGTAGAGATACTGTCCATTTATAGATCTGCTGTTCTCCATGTCGAGCAGAAACTGTTGTCTGAAACCGTGCCGATTCTGGCAATTGTCACGCAGGGCCTCGATAAGGTTGGTTCTAAGATGATGCCCTTTGCTCTGTAGGTAATTTTGTTGTCCTGGCTTTTACTGTATAGGTGAATGGTTTTTTACTGTAAAGTTTATGCCATGAATCTCACTTGTTTGTTGATTGTCTTTTCTAGTTCTTTGTTCTTTTCCCACCTCTGCATCAACTGGTCTTAGAGATTGAGCGCGACGATATTCGTGGCGGTCAACTACTTAATCTTCTGCACAAACGCTGTCACTGTGGTGTGCCTGAATTGCAGACTTGTATTCAAAGGTATTTAAGTCCCTTCCTACTCTGTGTGCAACTGTTTCTTGTATGAAAAAAAAAAGCGCACACAAAAAACTTGATGCCAGTGATCTCCCTTAAGGGTATAAACATAATTAAGATGGTACTGGGCTATACACTCCTACAAGTAATGAGCTTTCCCATTAGTATAGCATATCATAGTTGAAGATGTTTGAATCTAAGACTAACAAGTACCTAACATATTTAACGAGAATAGTAAAATGAGAAGAAGAATAGGGAAGAAAGGAATTTCAGTTTTTATGGCCTTGCTAAATGTATCATATGATCATTTGTTGTATTCAGTTGTGAAGTTTTTTTTTTTTTTTTTGAATTGGGTTCATGTTCTCATACTTTACCAAACGTATCCTATGTGCATTGTTTGGGAATTGCACTGTTCATCTTTGGTTTAAAATAAATTGGTCTACTTGTTTTTCGATTTTCACACAATCCACTAACTCTTACTTTACGTCCTCCCCCTGCCACCCCACCTGCCTCTCCCTTTTTAACCTCTGCCAAATAGGCTGCTTTGGCATGGTCATCAAGTAATGTACAATCAACTCGCATCATGGATGGTTTACGGGATCCTTCAAGATAATCATGGAGAATTTTTCATCAGAAGGTAACAACTATTATATCTTATAGCAAATATCGGTAGGATTTTAAATATCTTGTGTTAGACTGTTGGTTGATTATAGTTTGACCCACTTTGTGTTTGAGAAAATTGTTTAAGGTCTCAATCATGCAGAAAAGTTCTTTGGTGGCGTGCTGTGGGAATTGCTTAATAAATATAGCGAGTGTCTTTAAGTTCATGTGGACTATCACATTATGGCATCAAAGAATTGGTGGCGTTACAGATGTATTTTGCTTTAAAAATAATTTTCTGAATGGATAAACTATGATAAGTAATTGAAATCTTGTTAAGTGATAAAGCTGTGAAGTTGATTTGGAGGAATTTTCAAATTCCGCTATCACATTTGCTAACTTCTTTCGTTTAAGAGAAAACCGAACTTTCATTGAGAATAATGAAACAAAAAACAGAGAGCAGACAAAAAATAGCCCAACAAAAGGGAGCCAAACACATTTGCTAATTTAGGAAATACAATAAATAAAATCTTGTTATCTATTGTATCCCATGAGGGAAAACATTTGTTCTCGAATCACGAACCAAATGGGGTTTTTGTTTGCTATTGTTTCCATGGGCCATCATGCAAGATCTTAGATCTTGTCCTCTTTCATATGTTGTACTATTTTTCAGGAAAGATGTATCTTGTCTCTGACACATATCTTTGTCTTTTGTCCTGACTATGGTAGCAATTATATATACATATATACACACATATAAAAAAATATACATTTGCATTTGAGTCAAAATAGTATATAACAAGTTCCATAAATATAAGAATAAAATATAACAAGCAAGATAAGTAGAGAGAGCCTAGAAAGAAAGGAAACAAAGAAAAGGTTGTGTAGAAAACAGGAATGATAGATACCATATAGTTAATCTTGAAGTAACTCTGTGGGGTTTAATTTTTCTTGTTTATATTCGTTTGTATGCATTTGATGATTTTTACAACATGGGAATGCACGAGTCATTTTATGACTATCAAATTGCTCAGGCAGGATGACAGGGAGACAGAACAAGGCTCATCTGTACAAGACATGTCAGAGAAGTTAGGACGCTTATCAACTGATGATTCTTTGACTGATTGGCATTTGGGATTTCACATTTACCTGGTATGTTCATTACCATGTCCTCTACCAATATTGCCATTCTATTTTGAATGATCACTGCTTTAGTTCTTCTGTTGACACAGATTTTTGGTGTCGTTTCGGACTTGCCCATCTTGTCTTGTTTTTATATCTCCATTTTTCTCGTAATAGCTATTCTATTTGTTGTTTCTTCTCTCTCTCTCTCTCTTTTTTTTTCTTTTTTAATTTTTTTATTATATCTGTGGGCGTCCAAAAGCTATTTTGCTCATCTTGACTAATTTCATAAGGCAACTATTGGACCCTAGAACATTTAATTGTTAGAAAATTCATAGGATTTCATTATCCAAAGTAGGGGGTCACCATGGGGCTTGAAATCATTACCCCCACAATTTCTTTACTTTTGTCACGTTTTATTGCCACACAGCCAAGGTGGTTTCTCTCCCCTTTTTAAGAGATGACAATACTCCTTTGTGGTCTTGTGGTTGCTTCCACGTTTTGGTCAGAGGATCTACTCCCTTGTTACCTTTTTAATGAATTTTGTTTTCATTCTATATGAAACATAAACCATATTATGGTGTATTTCTTAAATGCTTCTGTTTGGCGCTTCTAAATTCTCTTCAATTGTACTGTTGGTTGTTGATACTCATCGGTTTCTCATGCATTTACTTTTCCAAAATAGATTTGCAATTTTCCCCCCACAAATTGGGTTCCAGATTCTTAGACTTAAAAACTTATTTGGTTGGAGCCCTTTCTTGCAATTTTCACCCCCATAAATTGGGTTCCAGATTTTCAAAGTAGACTGACGAGCAAACATGATAGCAAGATCTATGTAGTATATATGAATTTGTTTGCATATAATTTATCATGTGAGCTGGAAGTCTGTTCTGAACTTAATTGCTACTTTGCTTTCAGGATATGCTTCCTGATTATATCCATATGTGGGTTGCAGAGTCAATTCTTTTTGCTGGTAAAGCCATTAGGGTTCTTCGGAATCCAAGCAATGCCTTTTGGTGTCAGGGTGCTGGATATCAATCACATTCAAATATATCTAGAGTACCTCTAAATATTAAAGGAAATACAAGAAACTTTCCCCTTCAAAAGGAACCTTTTATTGCCACAAAGCTAACTGGAGAAGAATTGCTTCTACAGTCTGAAGCAGATAAGATAGAAGCCATGCTCTTAGATCTCAAGGTCTATACAATAGCATCGATTAGATTACCACTGGAACATGGCTTAACTTAAATTTGTTTGCTGTTTCTGCTTATGATAACATCCTTAAAAATAGTTCATTTTCCTCTTCTCTAAAACAACCCAATGACTTCTTTAGAGAAAATGTGCTTTAATTATGTGCAGGAGGCATCTGAGTTTCACAAGAGATCATTTGAGTCTGCTGTTGATTCAATTAGGGCTATCGCAGCTAGTCACCTTTGGCAGGTTTTGATTGTTGAACATTGAGTTCTACGTTTTATCTCATCCATGTATTATAATCTAATACATATCTCTGCAGCTTGTAGTTGTACGCGCTGACCTCAATGGACACCTCAAGGCCCTAAAAGACTACTTCCTTTTAGCAAAAGGTGATTTCTTCCAGGTAAAAGGACTAATCTGAATCTACTTTCTTCTTTTGTATATATTTTAACTGAGGATTTTTTACATGCGACATAAAAATCTAATTGTTCGTCTGTTTGTTGAGGAAGACTGCTTCCCAGTTTCTGTGGTCCTCAAGAAGAAACTTTTACTAAAATGCACTGTACTTCAAATTTGTTTCCAAGGCTTAGTTATCTTGATGTGTCGAAATCTTTTGATGGTGCTTCCTAGAAGAGGAATCTTTGTAGTCTTCAGAGAAAAATTAATGTAAAGTTCTTTGGGCACTAAGTTGATGCTTTCTAATGTGGAATTATTCATTTTCTGCCATCAGTTATATGGAATGTTATTAAGTTCATTTTATGAGAATTTAAAGTTTCTTTCAGCACATGATATGCTAAATTTTCACAACCAACTTCTACCATTTGTTTGAGCTCTGTGAATCCAATTCTTCTCGTRGGAATTCTGTTCTGGGTGTTAGAATTTGGTAACTGTGAAGCTTTCTTACTATTGCATTTTCAAAATTTTGCTTTGAAATGGAATCTGGGATGATATTATCTTGCTTCCATTCTTATGCACCTCATAATTCTAGCTTTATACAATATTCTAGAAGATCAAAATATTTTGTTGCCATGAACTTACTGGTTAGAGCATTCATTATTATTACTCCATATTCTGCTAATACCATGATTTGTTATGCTAGTGTTTTCTCGAGGAAAGTCGCCATTTGATGCGTTTGCCCCCTCGCCAGTCGACCGCTGAAGCCGATCTTATGATCCCATTTCAGTTGGTACTCTATTTTATTATTCTTTTTTGTACACAATGATTTCTTCTCTGATTCTAAATTATGTATTTGGCATGCAAATTTTATTATTAAATTTATGTGATTGAATAAATTTGTCAACACAATTTACATACCATGCAGGCTGCGACAAAGACTACAAGTGAGGAAGACAAATACTTTTCAAGAGTATCATTGCGGTTAGTTGTTGTCACATTGATAGTTTGTTTCTTTTTTCTTTTATAATATTTTTAATGGAGAACCAGCTTTCATTTAAGTCGAATGAAGTTAATACTAGGATGATGTTTGACTGGAAGGTGAAATTTAACCCAACCCTGAAATCCCATCTGAAAGAAGAAAAAACTCTTGAGGGGAGGTCCACGCTGCTCACTGATCTGCTACAATCACATTTTGTTTTTTTCTTTAATATTAAATATACACGTTTTATCTATTTTGAAGTACTCAATATATCAATATGTACAGTTTTTCTTTTAATATTCCTACTTTTTAGATATTGATGTGTCATTGTGTCTGTGTTTACTGTCTATGTCCTTTCATATCCGTGTTTGTGCTTCCTAGGTTGGTTTCATATTGCTTATTACGTCATTTTAAGTTCTAACACGTCCTTGGTAATCCTTTTTGCTTCTACTAGGATGCCTTCATTCGGAGTCAGAGTGAAGTCTACCCAGGAAAAAACTTACACTGATGGAAACCCTGGTGCCGCACTATCAAATTTATCTTCTGATATGTCTCTTGATGGCTGGGATGGTGTTGCACTTGAATACTATATTGATTGGCCCCTGCAGTTATTCTTTACTCAAGAAGTGCTCTCTAAGTAAGCATTGGCTGTTACTTTTTCCTGGTAATACCGTGTCGGGGCCTCACTCCTTACATTGTGAACATATGGCCCACTCTCACTAATCCTAGTGACTTTGCCCACTCTAAGCCAGCTTCGTGAGACCATGGTTTTAAGTTATTAATCATGACTCTTGTTAGCTGTCCCATTTTCCTTTAAACAAAAAGCATAGACTGGATAAATTTTTATCCACATAGACTTCTGCACCCTTCAACTATTAACTATATGAATGCTCCAGGTATTGCAGGGTCTTCCAGTATTTACTGCGGCTGAAACGAACACAAATGGAATTGGAGAAGTCGTGGGCGTCTCTAATGCACCAAGATCATGCTGATTTTGCCCAAAACCGCAGAGCTCAACGTGATGGATCAGTATCTTCACATCAAAGGCAGCGATTTAGACGGATGTGGCGTGTTAGAGAACATATGGCATTCTTGATCAGAAATCTTCAGTTTTATATCCAGGTCAGATTCAATACCTTATATTGACCAATATAATATACTTCAAATATCACCCATCGTTAATGCTTCTTAATTAAATTTGTTTTTTATCCACTAGGTTGATGTAATTGAATCTCAATGGAATATTTTGCAAGACCATATCCAAGATTCTCATGATTTTACCGATCTCGTGGGGTATCATCAAGAGTACGTATTGTTAACTAACTTGATATAGTTTTGGCGTAAATCACATGGATTTTCTCAATAATTCTTCTCTAACAACTCGTCTTCACAATGACTATGTACCATTAGTGATTAATGTAGCATGCATATTTCCTATTTTTTCCTTTTGATCCAGTTCGGTTTTGAGAAGTTGATCTTTGCTAGCTTCAAGATAAACTATAAATTGAAAACTAATAACTGATTTGCCTAATAGTTATTAGATCCCATAGGAAAAAGTAAAAAGGTTCAAAAGGAATGAGTTCAAATCATGATGACGGGCACCTGTTTAAGATTTAATATCCTATCAGTTTCTTTGGCAATTAATTTAGTAGGGTCCGGCAGTCCTCCTGTGAGATTAGTCATGGTGTTAAACTACCCGGACACTCACAGRAATAAAGAATAATAATAAATCGAAAACTTGTGCTAATGCATTTAAGAATCTGGTGCAGGTATTTATCTGCTTTAATTTCACAGTCATTCTTGGATATCGGTTCTGTATCGAGGATACTGGATGGCATAATGAAGCTTTGCCTGCAGTTTTGTTGGAGTATAGAAAATCAAGACAGTAGTTCAAACCCTTCTGAACTGGAGCACCTAACTGAGGTAACACATGGTTTACATATCTCAGAAAAAGTTAATAGTTCATAGCTGTTGATCAATTATTAAAATGGTATGGGGGTCTGATTGTGTGACATTATTACACTTGATTTTAGGAATTCAATAAGAAATCCAACTCCTTATACACAATATTGCGAAGTAGCAGGCTGGTTGGGAGTCAGAGGGCCCCATTCTTGAGACGGTTCTTGATGCGTTTGAACTTCAATTCCTTTTTTGAGGTAAAATCTTGTGGATGCATTTTTTATAACCCCAAAGAGTGCTTCAGTAGCAACAACTTAGAGATGTTTGGAGATATCCTTTCCCCTAGCTATTGGATTCAAGTGTCGAGTTTGCTTCCGTTTGATAACCCATTCGTTTTACGTTTTTTATTTTTAAAAATTAAACTTAGAAATACTACTTCCACTATGTGTTTCATTGTTTTGTTATATACTTTTTAAAGATGTTTTCGAACTCTAAGCCAAATTTTGAAAACTGAAATTATATATATATATATATATATTTTTTTTTTAAACTTGTTTTGTTTTTGGAATTTGACCGAGAATTCAAATGTGTTTTTAAGGAAGATGAAAAAAAATACCAAAGAAATTGTGGTAAATCAAGTGTAGTTTTTAAAAACAGAAAACTAAAAACAAAATAGTTATCAAACGAGATCTTAATAATCTAAAACTTGATTAAATTACGAGTTTGTACCTAAACTTTTGAGGTTATCTAATCGGTCGAACTTTAAAAAGTGTCTAACAAGCCTTTAAACTACAAAAGTGTCTAAATTACATAAATTTAAAAATTTTCAATATTATGTCTAATAGGGTCATGACCTTASAATGTTTTGCTTAATATGTCATTGTTCTATTAGACACAAAATTCAAAGATGAGAGACTTGTTGAATATTTTTCAGAATTTAGGGATCTAGTAAACACACTAACGAAAGTTTATGACTTATTAGACCCAATGTATATCAGACATAACTTTGAAGATTTAAGACTAAATTTGTAATTTAGCCTTGAAAACTCGAAAGCTCGAGAAATGGGCCTCCAATACCTTATATATTAAAAGAAAAAGGTACTTGAAAACTTTAATAGTGTTTTGTTGAATGTTTATTTTACAAACAGGCGACTGCAAGAGGGGTGCTAAACGTTGTCAGAGCTCGTCCGGCAGCTCTCCCAGTCCTAAATCAACAATAGCACCACTGCTTCTCTTGCAATTCTGATGTTCTCAAATGCTCATTTCTGTAAAATTAATCTTGCTAGGTGAGTTCGAATCACTTTCTCTCTCTCTCTCTTTTTTTTTTTGGAACATCTCTGTTGATGAAATTGGAAATGGGAGTGAGTATTTTCAATACAAAATTTGTAGGGAATGGGGTTTTAAATGGAGATGGAAATTTTTCTCTTGTAATTTATAATTTGATATATTTTTACACGTTCAACCATGGAAAACATCTATATTCTTCGACAATATTAAGCTCATATATATGTATATATTAATAAGAAACAGAAAATATTAAGATCGGGGGAGAACAGCCTATGTGCGAGACAAAAGAATCTCCTATAAGTAAGACATCGAGGATGAAGATTTACTTACATATGTTGCTACAACAAGTCCGCAAGTCCTCATATTGATATCTACTTGTTTTGAGGTTAGAGGTAAAATAAAAAATAAAAAATAAAAAATACTTTATACAGTGTGGTTTAAAGAGTAATTACACAAAAATGTTGTATTGGGTTAATCTAATATTAAAAAAATGTTAAATGATAAAATTTAGTCATTTAATATTTATTCAATCTTGAACTGTAGTATTATTCCTACATTTTTTTTTTCTTGTAAGTGACACATTAATTAAATTATTAATGACAATTTTGATTACGAGATTGCCAACAAAAATTTGGAAGCAAATGGATTAAATACATTTGAAATAAAAAAAATTCATCCGCTTACCTTTATTTTATTCTACTAGCCATGGGTCAAATCAAATTATTATCTATTATCTATTTGTCCAGTCAGCAATGAATATGCTGCATCAAGTTAGTTTAGTGATAATTTGTATATACTTCTYCCCTTAAAATTCGATACTCCATTTTCTTGATTAAGGTCCAAAGATGATTCTAGAACTTTCCCTCTTTCTTGGGGATCAAACTCCAGGGAACAAGCTTAAACACTGATGCAAGCTGTCAATCCGGACATACCCTGAAACTTTAGGTCAAATCCATTTTTGATACTCCTAAATTATTGTATAAAAAAAATGTGTTACATGATATTATGTCAAAAATGTGTTGCATCATGTAATATCAATAAATTACAAGAATCGAAATTAAAAAATGCAGTTTAAGCTAAGTTCAAAGTCYAAGGGTATGTTAATATGCAACAMATATATATTTGACAAATTTATTTTAAAAAATTGATTTTGGATTTTGTAATTCAAATATCGGAAATTCTGAAAAACAACATTTTTTTTTAATGTTTTCAATGTTTACAAATTTTTAATTTGAATTTAAAAATGTAGAAACATTAAAGAAGATAAAAACTTAGATAAATATATTGTTTTATGTTAATAAACTCATTTCATTTTTGTAAAAAATTAAAGGTTAAAAAATAGATTTGGTTCCTAGTAACAATTTAATCCACGTACTTGAAAATTRGTTACAATTTAGTTCCTACAATTAAAAATTATGTTAAATTTAATAGAGGTATGATGTGACTTGTCTACGTGTACAAATTAAATATTTTAACAGTATGGATTAAATTTTATAATATAATATAAATAATATAATATTACAAAATAATAATTATAAAATAGAATAAATTGCACGTACGTGGAATTAAACTCTCAAATTGCAACATGTGTAAAAATCAAACCTCAAAGTTTTAAAAAATTAGATCTATTAACTATTTCTCTCCACATCTCCTTGTCTATTTTCTCTAGCCATCGATTTGGGTTCGTTTGATCTGCAATTTGTTCATGCTTTCCCCTGGCTGCGATTCATTTCTGATGTGGGCTTTCCATTGGGGTTCGTGTTATTTAGGACTACTGCATCATCTTTTTTGGTAATTTACAGCCAAAAGACTTTCCAGATTCTGCCATTCTTGTAAGTTAGCCGCATTGTATAATGCTAAGGGTTTTTTCTTTGTGTGTTCATTACCAATTCTTAGAGATTCAAACTGAAAGAGTTGAAAATTGATCTGACATTAGTTTTAGGGTTTAAATTTGACTATTGAATGTTCGAGGTTCAATTTTTTCACTTATAAATGTTTAAGGGTTTAATTTTTACCAGAAGTATAATTATAAATACCATAATTGTTTGTGCAATTTACCCTATAAAAACTTTATGATATATAATATTCTAGAGTGAACGGAATATTTAGTTGATAACTACACTAGTTTATAAATATACTACTATAAACACACTCGAACAATTTTAAATAGAGATTTAATTTTTAAATTTGCTACCAARCACATATTCTAAGATAGAAACATAAAATATAACTATGTTTTTCATTAAATCACTTGTTTCCATATTTCTGTTTCTCTAAAACACCAACCAATCGCACCATAAATAAATAGGATCGTAAAACTTAAACTTAAGACTAACTTGAACTAGGATGTGAAAAGAGAGGGGTGGGAGAGGTGTAACTATAAGTATTAAGTAATGAGTTTCATATGATGTGAGAAACCTTGAGGGAAGACAGCACAATGAAAATAAGCCAAAGCAACATGAAGAATATGCACGTAACCCAAGCCCACAGCCTTGGCCCTCCAAGTTCTGCACCTAATGTCACACGCCTGAATACAAGAACAGCAATGCARCCCACAGAAGTTGAGAAAAATACCAGCAGAGAAAAGCTGAGGCCTGCTGCATCCTTTATCCTCAGGGGCTCTCGATACGCTGCGAAATTGTAGGCAGTGCTAATCAGCCATGGAACTCCAATTCCCACGTATATGTTCACTGAGTTGCTGCAAAATCGTCAAAGGATAGAATGGAATTAAAGTTTAATCCGGAAACTGCTTTCTAATCTTCCATTTTCCCTTGAAAATAAGATGAGGATTTGCAGAGAGGTGTGCAGCCAGTATTTGTTCATTGCATCTTCAACAGGTTGGGTTTTTCTATGTTTAAGGTCTTGAGAGAAATAGTCAACAAACTGGAAGGAGCACCGTTTTGGTTCAGTACCTTGGAACTTAATTCTATTTTAGCTTTTGTATGATTAGTTTGAACTTTGAGGTTAATTTTCATTTGATTTGGCAAAAAGAAACACAATAACCTCCGTTCAAAAAAGGGCACAAAGTGAATATGTTTCCGCCTACGGGACTTAAAATAAAATTAATCTTAAATTAACGATAGAGACTATTTTAAAGTTGTATAGGAAGTTTAGGGACTAAATTTGAACCTTTGAAAGCATAAGAACTAAAATAGAATATGGCCAAAAGTACAAAGATCATAGTGGTATTTAACCTAAAATCTTATAACCTATAGAATTTCGCTGTCTGTATGTCTCTTAGATATATAAAAGAAGACAAGGTTATGTAATGGCGTTCAGACCAGAGAGAACCTACCTGCATGTAATGTTTGCAATGGCCGAGTCTGCAGTTGTCTGACGCTCAGCAGCAATCTTACTAGCCACTAAATCTGGCCATGAAGTTCCACTTGCCAAGGCCGTAAATGCTATGACATAAGGATTTATTCCTGCGTAACATACAGAAAACAAAACCAAAATAAGAGTACTAAGAAAAACAATTTGACACAAGCGAGAGGTGGGTATTATTTCCAACACTATTGAGGACATAATAACATTCACTGAAAGTAGAGGAAATTTGACATTTATATTTGGCAATAAGGAGAACCTGAGACACAGCTTATCAGATCTGTGAGCTTAGTGACGATGTAAGCTATCCCACTGATGAAAATAAGAGAGCAAATAAAGGCAAGCCATCCATGAGCAATGTGATAAGGAGGCACAATTGCAAACAGAAGTCTCCACGGAGCGAGAAGCAGCTGCCAGCATATTCTCGCAAGTCGTAAGTGGATGTTGTTCAGCTTTCTTGATTCCAAAGTTTCCAACTGCCAAAAGGAATCACCAAATAGAATATAAAAACTGGTTACCAATTGTTAAGCTGTAGGGGAAGAACAGTGCCCATTCACCTATAACATGGACGAGTAAGAAATAAATAAGTCTGCAGAACATTTCGACAATTTCTTCTAAATAACAATTAGTGTTTGTATTGCTTACACAGTTCGACTCAACTCACGAGATAATTGCCATCCTATGAAACTTGGTACAAGAGAAACTCATAGAATATGCTAATATTTTATGTAGATGGCAACTAAAATTTAAACCCATGGCAGGCATCAAGGTTTACTACTTGCAACTTTGACTATAAGGCCGACCATAGTGGTTATCCGACAATCAATCATGAAATGTACATTCGTCACATTAGTTCAGCTTACAAGAATCAATGTGATGCCACACATGCACGACCAGTAGTATTTTAACTTTGTTTTCAGGCTGACTAATGTAATTATAACATTTTAACTTCCTCAAGTTTTTATATTAACAGCTGAGTAAAGGAAAGGTATTCACAGGCAATCAGAACCCGTGTTGTTACATGTGAAAGAGAAGATAACAATGACATTGAAGAAACTAAGTTTCATAATTACCGAGAGTGCATCCGCAAATTGTTGTTTCCAAACTGTAAGCACATGTGGGTGGTCTATATTCTCATCCGTCTCCTCCGGAAATTTACTACAGGAGGATTCAGCAACATCATGTCCAGGAACTTCATGATACACTAGAAATTAGAGGTATTAATAGGCGAGTTTATTACAGATTGCAATAAACTTGAATGGTACAACTTATTTTCATAAGAAACTAACGTTTCATAAAGGAAAAGTAAGGTATAATACATGATGTGTATGAACATCTAGAAATAGGCATGGACTATGTTAGATATCCATAAATGAATTAAATTTACCCAACCCATCAACTTAAACTTTTGGATTGAGTGGTAGTTTATTCATCCTTAACATGGTATCAGAGCGGGAAGTCCTGTGTTCGAACCCCTTACATTGTTGTTTCCTCCTTATTTATTATGATTTCCACTTGTTGGACCTTTGTGCAATTATCCAAGCCCACAAGTGAGTGGAAGTATTAGATATCCATAAATGAATTAAATTTACCCAACCCATCAGCTTAAACTTTTTGGTTGAGATGAATAAACAGACTATAACAATTTGAAACCTTATCATTGCATAACAAAAGTGTATAACTTCCAATACGTCAATAAGAAAACTGAGAAACGTTCTTTGAACTGAAAAAGTTTCATCATCTTCCTGAATCCTAACATGAATGAATTAATCTCCCATCAATCCCACTCATGAGCATTTTGCAGTTGGTAGAACAACAAAAACCATCTGTATAATGTAGGTGGATCATTAAAATACATGTTTATATCTTAATGTCATCGTCATACTATTTCTTGACCAACCAAGCATAATTCAGGGATGGTACATTTTCACTTTCCCTCGCATTTTGGTTATTCTATAAATCTGTACCAACAGAACTTCCATAATGCTCATGTCCACATCCTAGCAAAGTCTACAGATAGGAGTGAGAAATTTCTGGTCCCTAGAAACTAACAAAAAGTTGCATTCTCACCATCATAAGCTTTCATTAGGACAAGACCAACAACATATTGAAAAATGAATCAATTTAAACTATTACGGTATTACCTCTTTCATTTTTATCATGAACAGAGAAAATGTCAATAATCTCATTCTCATGGGCTTGAAATATCTCTCCATAGATATTCTCCCGTCTGCATGTAGCAGTCTCAGGTGGTACCCACTCCTCTGGCCTCTCAGTTCTTGCACTAGCAAGTCAGAATGTACATTAGAGGCATATTTCCAAAATTCTATTGGAAGTCAAGAAGCAAGTTCACTGTCTGGTGGTTCATCCAAAAGAACCTCCACCATGGAAAGGAAATAAAAAAGAAAGAGAGCAAGCATACAAGGGAAGAGACAAGTAGGGCCACCGCTTATCTTGAGCATAAGCATGTGTCAGCAGTAATCCATACTGTAGCACAGTCAACAAAGCTTCCCAAAGAGTTATTACATTTGGAGTCCATACCTAAGAGTTCAATATATGTCAGCAATGATACGTTGATATAATGTAGTTAGAGTTATTTCAACAGTAAAAGTTGAGATTAAAGAGAAAATAAAATACACTTGATGAAATACTAAAGGACAAGAAAGGAATTAGAACATTCTGCCAAAGAGAAAATGCAAAGTATTACCTCCAAAATAATGTATAACCAAATATAGGCCCAGAATGACCAAAGGAGCTCAACTAGCCAAACTCCTAGGTCAGATATCTTTTTCAACTCTCCTGCCTTGGGCACAACAACGCAAACAGCATGAATGGGAAAAAGGTCGAAAGCAGCAGAACCAACTAGTGTTCCAGGTCCCAGACCTAAATTACATGATATCAAACAATAAAAAGAAAATTATTGTATGGAAATAATCTACCATCACACACAACCAGTATTCTAGAAGGGGAAAAAAGTTCATAGTTTTTAGTCATAATCCAATGCCTTTTGCCCTTCCTGGCAAAAAAGGAAAAACTGATGAATTGTACTACAAAGTTAATTTCATGTGTTAGCCAGAAGCGTGCACAAGCTTATGGACCTGAACTGAATAACCAGATATCATTGATGAATGAAGTAAGTTTTAAATTTTAAATAAACGAAAAACAGAGTTCAGCAAGTCCATTCAATTGAAAGACCTATTTCAGAACTTATGCGAGGAAAGGAAGAAAGTGAAAAAACCTCCAGCATACAGGTTGCCAATATTTCGAATAGCATCAATAGTAGCTAATGATATTTGAGGAAAGCTAGTGCCAAATGCCAGTAAGCTGATATCTGCAATGGTAAAATTCCAGACCTTCTCATATCGAATAATTTCAGTATTGGTGTATGGATCTATCTCTACCACCTTCCTTGAGTGCTTCACAACATTCTCCATGGACCGGAAAAATCGAGCAGTAATAGCAGACAATCCAATGAAACAATAAGCAAGGCCCATAAAATATAGGAATATCCGAAATGACTCCCCAAGGGAAGTTTCGCCACTAAAAACTAAGTAGCTCTCACATTTGCCGATCTCAATACTACTAGAAATTTGTTGTCCACTTTCTTTAGCTAATGATGCCATTTTAATCAACTTTGAGTCACAAGTCCAATCAAGGGGGATCGATTTTTCTTGCAGAACATCAATGGGCCTGATAAGAAAAGAGTAGCATCCTTTCATGTAAAAAGACCACAAATTAAACCAAGAGAATAGAAATTGCTAGTCAAGATTGTGATCAACAGACTAATTTTTCTTGTAAGACATCAATGAGGACGTAAATTACTATAAAGACCTTTCATGTAATGTGACCATAATTCAACACTCCTTTTAAACATTAAACAAAAGAATGCAACATTAATTAAGAAAAAACCATTTACTAAAGTCTATAACAGCCTCAGGAATGTCAAAACCTTTAAAAAACTTCCTTCTGTCTAAAACTATGTGATGTGTCCCACAATATTTCAAATTTTATTTGTTTACTTGSAAGACGTTCAATGCATGAACTATTATAATTTAGTGCTAAAATAACCAACAGTTAGACATCCAAGCCCTACACTCAAAGGTGTGCTGGGCTCCCAGCCCAGTCGAGCTCACTTGTAATTGTAACATCTTGCTCTATGTCAAGCAAGCTCATCTTGAAACACTCGTCTACCCCAATCATTACTTTACTGATTTGTGATTCCCAAACAGTTGCCCATGTTCTTCCCTATTAACATGCTTTGAACAGTGCTAAGATATTAATTGATAATAACACAGTTTTAATATACCAATAGTATAGAAGTAAAGAGATGAACCAAATAATTTTTCAAGCCTTTGAGAGGCTTTAGTCTCTCCCCATAGTACACATAACTTCATCGCCTTTCACTTACATACCCATGTACTTTAAAGTTTAATACTGACAGTACTACAGAAGAGTGCCCCACCTATCATGCTAAAGCCCTTACGAAGATGAACCAACACGTGTGATTTGTAGACTCCTGAATTAACTCACACCTCACGAAAACTATTCACATGACTTAGCTCACGCAACTTTCACCTAGCATAAGCAAATCATATCCAGATGCCTAGAAAATTAAATCAAACACCTAGAGGGAAAAATGTTGGCTACTGAAATAACATTCCCAAGTAATTGCCCATTTTTCAATCAATGCAGAAAGTTCAGTCTTTTTATGTAGAAGATCACCATGACCTTAACAATTCCAGACAAGTGTAACATACCAGTAATAGATGAATTGGTTGATGAGCTCAATGGATCAACCATTTTTTCCAAGTTAGTTCTCAAGTTTAGGTTCCATGAGGTTTTTGAAACCAAAAATGACACACGGAAGACTACTTTTCCAACTCAAGTTTCTTGTCGTACCATCCGAGCTCACACATGCTCTAGCTAGTAGCTACATTATAGTTAATGTTGAACCACAAATTTTTTCGCTGTCTTTGTAAAGTTTTTCCTAGTTCTCTTTGATGACATTGTAAAACACCGGTAGCGAGGGCCTGTAAAATAAATTTACAGGTCACAAGAAACGTTGTCTCTTGAAAAAAATATATACATATAAATGACTTKAATAGTGTCAATTGTATGAAGAAAAATGATCAGTTGAAGTTCTTTTCCCCTAATAAGAAACAATCCGGTCATTTTTCTTTTTCCTGAGTCCAACAACTGTCCCATTCGTACAGGTAACTAAAAATTTATACATGACATCGTTCTTATGTACAGAACTGCATCATTTAAAATTGGAAAGATATAATAATAGTTTAGAAGAAGTAAAAATTGGAAAGTAGTGTAATATTCTCTCAGAAATTATATTGGGAGTATTCTTCTCATTATTATAATTATGAACAGAACGAGTTTATTTAAAGACTTAGTAATATTTAGAACAGAAATAACAAATGAATAACAGCAATTACACCAAATAACAACTAATCAACTCATATTGACASATATTAAGGGTGTGTTTGGGAGTGATTTTGACACTTCTCTCTCCATTGATCATGTTTGGCAAATTAAAAAATTGATTTTAGAAAAGTCTTAAGTTACTTTTAATTGATTTTTAAGGTACCACTTAGAGGGTGATTTTGAAAAACAATTATACTTATATCTCTTTTTCGAGAATCACTCATCCAACCATCATTCCCAAACACATTCTAAGTAACAAGTAGTAATTCTAATCATAGAACAAACCAACAGTGAGAAGTTGTTCTATCTGGTTCTCAAGCAAAGCAACATAACTTGTCGTGTTGCGAAGCCCATCAGAACAAAGCGAAAAGATCTTCGACAACCAGATGAAAAATCAAGGGGAAGGAAAATTACTTAAATCAAATAATCAACCGTGTAAGCGAAGATAAGACCAACAGAAATTGAGCAGCAGTACCAATCACAGTCAAATTATTCAACAAAGTAAGTAGAAAATGCAATGACCAAAACCACGATCTAATTACTGGAATGGGAATATTAAATCAACAAAGCTACCTACGGAAGACGTTAATCGCAGCTAAGAATTAAACAGTATCTAGACTAATCTGACCGCTGAATCAATATTCGCCGGAACATCACCCTCCCAGTGATCCCTCCGGCACCGGAGCATCACTGTGAAAAATCGGACGAGATGGAAAATTTATGCGGTCTAAAGGCATTTATTTGTGATGTGTGGAAGCGGAGGGAAACTGGACAGGATTCAACGTACCTGTACCGTCCATGCTATCGGAAGAATGAGATTATTAATTAAATTTAGCTCACATGAAACATATCTTTGACCTCTCTATAATTAATTAATTGTAAATTTGCCTTGATAAAAAAAAAAAAAAAGTAAATTTGCCTCACAGATTAAATTTTTGCGCTAATGTTATTTTTTTGTTTTCCTTTTGAAATCCTTACTTCATTTTTATTTCAATTATTTGTCCCAAATTCAAATCTCAGAGATTTTAGAATTTCTCACGATATCATACGAAAAATAATAAATTATTAGGAGGAAAAAAAAGAAATGTTATTTTCTTAATATTGGGATTGAAACTCAGGCATCAAGGAAAATAGAAAATAATTGAGCTATCTTCTAATGAAAAAACATGGTTATAATAAAAATGAAGGATTTAATTTTATTAATTGTTTCAATAATACTTCTAAAACTCTAAAAAATGATATTAATACTTTGACCAAAACTTTCAAAACTACAATTATTGTTAGGGCTATTAAAATCTTATCTGTGTCATGAGAAAAATATAGAAAACGTGGAAAATTTGGGCAAGAAATTCATATTTAAGGAACAAACGGCATCTTGAAAATAAAAAGAACAAAAAAACAAAAAGAAAAGGAACAAAAGGTGTCCAATGTTGACAATCCGCAACATATTAAAGGAAATTTTCTTTGGGTCGATGGTAGACAAAAATATTCACTTACTATATAGGGACGAAATACACGTGCTACGTATGTTTGACCAAAATGATGTGAGTTTAAATCACACGTGCTTAAGTACTTAATCGTTTATTTTTATATATATCAACTTAAGTATTATTCAACTAATTAAACTACATATGTTTGACTAAAATGATGTGAGTTTAAATCTTTATCCCCACATATTGAATTAAAAAAATAGAAAAATCGTTAGTATTATTTTTTTGGGTCACACTTAAAAACTTAAATTATTGATACGGATAGAAATATTGAGATGTCAATTTTATAGATAGAAAGATCAATAAAATAGTTTATATTTTAGATAAGTTAAACATTATTATTAATAGGTCTATATATTAGTGACATTTTATTAATATTTTTTATATTTTACCCTTTTTTTACAATAGGTGCACAATTTTTTAATATATCATAATTTGTAGACTAAATATGATTCGTATTAATTTCGCATAAAAAATACATTCTTCRAAATGTATTCTCTTATTATTTCTCTTGAAGCTTGGATAAGTTTCAACAAAAAGTCTCTATTGAATTCTCCTTTAATCAAGTTTCAACATAAGTCTTTGTCAATTTTCTGACATACCAGTGTCGTAAATTTCGATCAACACATCAATATGTCGGTCGATATGTTGATATGTCGACTCCTTCGACATGTAAATAAGRGAGAAAAATCGTTTTTTTCCCATTTATCGACGCATGTCAAAATTTAACAGAAATATCAGAAAATTTTCAACCTCCTGTCGAAAACATTGAGACTATTAAAAATAATTTTTTTGACTCAGTAAGGCTTAGCCCTTAAATTGGCCCAGCCAAGCCCAAATATTGATGGGGTCTCAGCTTTTAGTGYGTGGTGGGGTGTTGAATGCAGGAGGGGAGTACGAAGGTAGGTTTTTAAGTTTCAAAAAGTGATAGTTTGATCTCGACTTTTAGAAAATAGTTTTAAAAGATGTCTGAAGTTAAACTTTCCGTTGAAAATAGTAAGTTGGAAATTTTATAAATTTTGTATTATTTTTAATTGTGTAATCTTTTATATTTTCATCATCTCTCTTCTTTCCCTCTTCCCCTCTCTTCCCCTTTCGCCTCCGTTTCGTTTCCCTTCCCTCTATCTTTCTTTCTCTATGTRTGAAAAAATCTTTCCATGACTTCTGGTTATTGCCATGTGAAGATCCAAAATGTGGCGGTTTTGTAAGATTTAGACACAGGGAATTTGGAGGAACTTTTGGGTTCTTACTGAACCAATTTTTTCCTTTTTTTTTCTTAAATCATTTTTCTTTCTTTTTTATTTGCGATTTTGGCTTCTTAGTTRACCACATGGGATCTTTCTGCTAATATTTTTTCCCTCTCCCCTGTTTCTCTCCTCACCATATAAGGAGGGATAGGGGAGGGACAGGGGAGGGAAAAGGAAGGGGAGAAAGAGGGGAAGGGAGAGAAAGAAGGAAGGAAGAGAGAGGGTGGAGGAAATGAATAAAATAATTACATATAATTAAAAATAATATAAAATATCCAACTCATGCCACGTCAGCATTCCGTCAGTGACACTAACGGAATTGACGTTAGGGACCTTCTAGAACTATTTTCTAAAGGTCGGAGAAAAAACTATCACTTTTTGAAATTTAGGGATTTAAAAACCTGTCCTCAAACTTAGGGATCAAAAGTGTATTTTACTAAAAAAAAATATTTTTCTTTAATATATGATAGATATTATAAAGATTTCTTATTATTATTATTCTCACTTTCTTACTGATATTTGTTTTATTTTTATAATTTATTTTAATTATATTAAGTATTTTTTTTTATCATCTACTTTTATTTCTCCCATACAATATCATCTTTTTACTAACAATTAAGTTACTTATTCTACTTCATTCATTAAAAATTATATATATATATATTTTGTTCGATTATCTAACTAAAATTAGATTAGATTAGAAACTATCAATAAAATATAATCAAACAACAATGAACTTTAATTTACTAATTCAAATAATTTTCATGTAGGTATATATGATTTTGTTTTAACGTATATTACTTATATATTTAAAAATGATGGTTAAAAGTGATCAATTATGGGCTAATTAAGTTCCAAGTAAAGTTTTATTTACTAATTCATAAAATTTGCATTAATATCTACAACTTTCATGATTTTTCTGGAAATATCCATCGACATCGATATGTCCATGCATTTTGAACTTTGGCCATAACTTTCTGGAAATCTTCTTCCCCTCCGATGAAGGCTGACTTAATAGAATCTTTTATGGGCCTGATATGGGGCTTGGCCTTAACTCTTAAACTTGTGTTAACTTAAACCTGCGGTTCACCTTAGGCTTGGATCTATCTAATTATTTCTTTAATAGATTTGGACTTTATTTGGATTGACCCAAATTTATTTTAGTGAACTTGGATCAGGTAGACCATTTTATATGGCGGTTAAATCAGTTAAAGTGAATTATTTGATTGACTAAATTTTATGTCTTTTAATTTAATTAAATGAACATATATCAAAATCTTAAGTATAATTTTGTCATTCAATTAAAATAATAATGTGTGATGAGTCGAAATTTATCACTTAAGATATAGAAATGACAATTCGTTCCTTTATGTTGATGTCAAACTCATAAACATATCAAAATATTGATGGAAATACCAACATGTTGACAAAAATTTAATAGGTAACCTGGCCACACCACACCCTCTATTTAGTATATATCTTAAATTGTGTACTCTCCTTAATCCTAACGTGGAAGCATGTTTTGGACTTTACAATCGATAACCTTTTTGGCTCGACAAAGTAGTTTTGATCAGCTAAATGTAACACGTTCGCTATCATGACTCTTATATTAGATAATTCTTCATTTGTTACAAGAAATTGCTTCATGAGTAAAGCATTCAAAATACATTTCAAAGTTTTGCTTGTGCACTGCATGTTCATCCATGCTTCACTATTTCCTATCGAGTACAAAATTTTTTATTTTGAATTGGATAAAGATTCAAACTTCTGACTTTTTAATCGAGGATATATTTTAATCAATTGAACTATATTTAAGTTGACAATATATTGTCGATGTTAGTTGAACCTTCAGTACAAAAATAAGGTTCTATAGCAGCGATTTTACGATCCAGAAAGGGAAATTTTTTAAAGCAGTGTAGATTTTATATGTTTTCAAATTCTAAGTCTGTTACTAAACCCATTTTAAAATAGTAAAAACATGTAAAATAATTATGCTATTCATGTATTCTTAATCTTCAAATTCTAATTTCTTTTTTTTTTTTTTATCAACCAAACACTGTCTTCATCCATGAATTTGCAGAGCATGCATATATAAAACATGCCCTTGGATCTCTTGATAAATTATGCATAAAGCAAGAAATCTTTCTAAAGGTTGATTTTCATTCTTTTTCTTTATGTAAAATTGAAAATTACTGATTAACAGGGGCTGCTCAAGATGATATAGGAGTTTAGGCAAAACTTTGATTTAAAGGCCTTAATATAGAAAATATAATCTAAAATTTAGATGCAAAATTATGTATCAAATTTTGATAATCTAAGTTCATTCGAATGAATAATATGACCAATCCATTTAATTTCTTGTGATATAGTTGACCTTAAATATGATTAATTTTAATTTTAAAAAGCTTCTTTCAGCAGAAACAACTATTACTGCTATTGTTAATAATATTTTATAAGCAATATATGCATTTACCTTTTTTATATAATTTAATATTTTAATAGAGCAGTCAACTTAATTTTACAAGACTTCTCTTAATATTTTTAATTAAAAAAATTAATCTAAACAGCTAATTTAAGTAAATGTGTCATGTTTTAATATATTTTCAAAATTACTACAATATCTTTTTAGATTATCATCCTCTAATGACTTAAAAAATTTCATATCAAATAAGAAGTTAAAGGATATTTCTATATACATGAAATTGAATCTCGCGGTGATCATGTTTCTTAAATATCAACATTTTCATCCAATTGTTATTTATTTTTCAAATCGTTATTTTTTCGTGAAATATTGGTTGTATTTTCTTATCATTTGCAATTTTCAAAGCAATCCTTTTTCTCTATACTTTTTCGCTCTAGTTTGTTTTTCATGATTAGATGTTTCATTTATTCAACAACCATATCATTATTTACTATTTTTATTTCATCTTTTGATTTGTCTATATTTATCATTTATTCTATAATTTCATCATTTTTATTACTTTTACTTCCAATAACAAATTTATCGAGAGCACCTTTTTAAGATTAAAAGTTTTTCTACTTTTCTTTTATATTTTCATATCTTTGATATTATAAGTAAGTAAATCTCTTATATTAAGTTT